ATTCTGGTGCTTCGCCGGGGGAAGGTTGTTGTTGGGGCATTCGGCTTCGGCTTTTGGGAACTTTGCTTGTTCTTGTTATTGATGTCTTTGTGGCTTGTGTCGTTTGCCAAACATAGCTGCCAGCCCCCGTTCCTGCAAGCGCACATCTGCACCCAAAGCCCCAGTTCTAGTGGAACCTGTGATGGTTTGACATGTCCAAACTCCCTTGGCTTGAGCTTGCAGATATGAGTTTCTATGAACTCTGAACGTGCTGACAGATTATCGAGGACACCCCCTGTGGCTCCGGGTTTCACGAGGCTGCCTCTAGGAAGCTGGGCGGCGCGGGCGCCGCCTGGGACTTTGTCTCTGGGTGGAGAATTTCCGCGCGCTGTAAGATCAATTACGGCTTCTTTGGGAAGGTGCGATATTGGGGCAGGGCCCTGCACTCTACAAGCTTTCCGAGAGTGTGGCACATGCAGCCGACACACCTAGCACTGAAGATACATCTGCGAACAGGCGGCAATCTTCTCCCGGGAACTTCCAGCGCCATATTATACGCACAATACTTTGTTCAACCTCATTCCTGACCTAGTGGCACCTCTGTCATAAGGTATTACTCAGATCTCTCGGCACCCATGTCATCCACTCAGACAAGACACCTGCTCCCGCTGTTTCTGCTTCGGCGGCATCTGCCGCTGAGTGAGCGGCAAGCGCCTGGGCTTGAACACTGCGAATGACTTGAAAAGGTAGCGGTGCCAACTTTTCCAGGCCAAACTCCCCAAAAAGTGCTACTCAGGCTGCCTGGGCTTCTTTTGGGGTTTAGGGGGGGCTCCACTGTCCTTCCCAGGCCAACGCCTCCAAGCGATCCCCAACTCATGCAGGGCCTTCGGAGTGAGGACTTAAACCCTAAACCCTAAACCCTTTTTTTAAGCACGGACTGAGGAAGCTGCCGGCGACACCTGAAAGTAGCAAGACTTGCACCAACTGGCGAAACTGAGGTCATCTTCAACTGGAACATATCTCCCATAAGAACATTGAGCCTAAACCCTAAACCCTAAACCCTAAACCCTAAACCCTAAACCCCAAACCCTCAACCACCAAACGAATCTGCAGCCCAAGCCACCTGGAGCGGCAACTACATCATGCTCCTACTACTCCTCTCTCTGTTCCTGGGGAGCCCGGAGTCCAGAAAAGTCACAAAGGGCCGAAGGTGGGAGCGAACAATGCTGTACTTGTAGTGTAATTCTTCCCCCCCCCCCCCCAGGGTTTAGGCTTTAGGGTAATTCCCCCCCCCCCCCCAAGGGAAGATATATGTCTAATCAACCACAATGTAGCGCCCGTGTGCGCGACGCGCCCTTCACAAATTCACCTTCCACCCGCAGTCCTCCGCGAGCACATGATGAAACGGTTCAGAACCCGTCAAGAATGTGCAAGTCAGTCAAATGTTGGTTGCCCTTGTAGCCTCCCCTCTTCATTTTTTTTTGTTTCCTCTCTCTCTCTCTCTCCATATGCTTAGCCCTCCCAGAGGAGGGCCGTCCTGAAAGGCGCGCGAAGTCCGAGGTCCTGCTTCTCTTCTTTCCTCTCTTTCCCGCTTTCCCTCTTTCTCTCTTTCTTTCTTTCTTTCATTCTTTCTGGGGGCATGGGGGACAAGCCCCCGGGCGTGGCGCGCCCGCTCCCTCCTCTTCTTCTTCTCCTCCACGCTTAAGCCCGGCCACGACGGCCGAGCGTGTCTGCTGTAGGCCCCTTGTGGGGAGTTGGCGGGCTTGCCCTCCAATTAACTTCACTGGCGGCTTCAGGGTTTTTGCCCGCTCTCTGTCTCTCTCTCTCTCTCTCTCTCTCTCTCGCGCTCTCCCTCCCTCCTCTGGCTCTTCTGCTAGAGGCATCCCTCCCTATCTCGCGTGCTCATCCAGCAATCCGTAGAGGCAGAAAGTCGCGCACATCAACCGCAAAGCAAGCTTTATGCGAAACTCTGCCAGCACAGGGGTCTGCATGGCTGAATTCGGCTGGCACTGGTGCACAGCTATGCACATGACCACTGCCTCAGGAGTTGAGGTACTTGGGGGTGCTGTGTCAGGGTGGCTTAAAAAACTCACCGTTTCTCACTTTTCGGTTTGGAATTTTCTGGGCATTTTGTAGGAGCTCCCCAATCCCGGCAGGGGAAACGAACGCGGGGCCATGCAAGCTGGCCTCCTACATCTTTGCACACTCTTCTGCGCGGGGTTCAGGACCCCAACAGCCTAGACTTTCTGATTTGTGGTGTGGGGGTTTGGGAGCACTGACAATCCGCATACGACCCAGAATGCGACCTTTCGAGCGCCAGTACTGCCCGCCAACAGCACTGTGCAACTACCAAAACCCCTTGCCCTTGGGTCGGTCGTATTGAAATCGAAGCTCTCCCTGCTACATTCATGACCCCCTAGTTCGCTTTAGGGTGGTTTTGGGGGGTCTCGAACGCTAGTGTGGGGTTGAGTCCAGCTCAGAATCAGCCGAAAGGACCTGGGCCATGGTCTTCTCCAACAGCACCTTCAGAGACATCGAGTCCGGCGCACGTCTTTCACTGCTAAGGCACGTGGCCTAAAGGGCCCATGTGTGGGTTGCCGAACATGGGCGGAGGGGGGGAGGGGGACCCTCAATATAGACCCCCAAAGAGTCGGATGCCCTTATAGTCAGGACCCCAGTAAAGGTGCCCCTAATATCGGAAACCCATCTTCGAAGTATAGCTAATAATACCAGCATGGGCTATTAGGCCTTATAATCCCCTAACCAACCCTATAAAGGGTCGTTTTAAGGGGTTATAGGGTATAATAGCCCATGTAGGTAGGGTTTCTAGGGGCATACGTCCTCGTATCTCTTTAGCTTCCAGGCCTCGGTCTGCTTGTCCCTGGCACGCTGGGCGACTGCCGCCGGGGAGCGCGGGTGGCCGGCCTCATCTCTGAGTGGCTCTTGGAGTTTTTTTTTTTTTTTTTTTTTTTTTTATGCTGAACTTGGGTTCCTTGCAAGGACGATAGTCTTAGCTTTTCCTGATGGATCCTAGTATCCCAAAATTGAAACCTGTTTCCAAGTACGCCTGAGTTTTAGGCTTTTTCTCTAATCTAGGGAGCTTCGCCAAGCAATTTCAGCAGGACTTGGCCCCTGGTGTTTCAACGCCCACGATCGACACAAGGCGTTCTTTTGCTGACCTGAGAAGAGCGAGGATTCAGCACGTCAGCGTCCTGAGTTCTGGGGCTGAATTCTGCAGCTTTCAACTGGGAGGCGCACAACACTCCGGACTGCAAAGGCTTGAACTCGTTCAGAGCAGGGGGGCTGTTCCAGATTGGAGCTGCTATGCCGGTGAAACACTATCAACACACACATATACGTTCAGCTGGGTCAGTTTGTGGCCATCTGCTCAGCTTCCTTGATCAGCATTCGGGTCTTGGATGACGATCAAGATGTAATCTCTATCCGGTGCGACCATGATCTCATGCTTCTTGGAACGGATCCTGAGAAAGGTCAGGTCGTTTTGAGGGTCCAGTTCTCGAACCACGCTGCGTGCCTTTGCGGCAAGTTGGGAGATCAAAGCTGAGTACTGCAAGGTCTGCTTGCTGTCCAGTGTTGATCGCATTGGCACCCCCTCGCTGTTTACGATGACAATGCCCGAAACTCCTTTGTGAGTTTTGATGCGGTTCAGAGTCTCTTCCACCTCCGACATTTCGGACGCTCTTTTCGGACGCTCTACGGCCCGGGCCTACGTTTCGCGCTTCTCCAGGCAAAGGCAGTCCTAGCTTGAGCCGTGCAAGGTTTGAGGATTCGATGTTCTCTTGACCTTTAACGGTGAGCGTCACCCGCCTGATCATTTCACAAAAGCCCCAAGACAGCTCGCACACTAGCCTAAAGCTGCGCGACAAGTGATCCCATGGGTGCCCTGCCCACCCACGCCCCCCGACCCCAGGCACTGTGTGATAGGAGCCCCAAGACACCTCTAGGCCCTAAGCGCTTAAAAGCCCTACAGTAATCCCCAAAAAATCCCCAAAACCTAGCTTCTAACACCCCAAGGAAGCCTCAGCTTGAAACTCTGAAAGCCCTGCGCAGCATCATCCCGACCTTTCTCGCAACATGCCACTCTGGCTCGTACCGGCCTCCCTGGAGGCTTGGTGGAATCCGGGAATCATCTCCACATCCCCGTCGAGATGCAGGAGGGTTTAGGGTTTAGGGTATCTACACAAGTGTCAGGAATCTTGGCCGACACGGCAAAGGGCATCGGCGCGAACAAACAGCGGATCACTCACATGGAATTGGCATTCAACGATGATGCTTCGCATGCGTGTCCAAGCACCACAGGCAACTTGGCTTTGAGTCACAGGCTGGAAGAAGGCAACAATGCGCCCAACTGAACTCAAACTGAAAAATCATTCGTGCCGTCTTTAAGTAAGGCAAGTTTCTTCTAGCCCTCCCGATGACCGTCCCAAAGTAGTCATATCACTGGTGTTGCGGGCACAAGTCTTCTTCCATTCATGCGTGTGCCAAAGCCGATTCAGCACGCCACCTAGCATCGAATTGGAAATCCAGCACGTCCAAAACTGAGTTCACACTCCTTGAAGCGCCACAGACCAGTTCTTGCGACGGTCTTGGACAGCCTCTACACGAGTGATCTCTAGTCTGTCTGACCAGAAGCAGGCGGCTCCAGCAGGAAGATTTCCCAACAGCAAGAGTACCTGCACGGAGGCACAAGGATTTGATGAGCGCTTTGCCAAACAGAAGATGTGGCCGCTAACTTTCTTCTTAGCAATCACGCGATCAAGACCCAGCCAATGCGCATTAACTCCACCCTCTTGTGGCAGTAAACCACGTCGAGTGTGCTGCAATTTGCATGAAATCTTGTGCACAAGACCCGCCCACTCCGCGCACAGCTGCCGATTTTGTGCTCTGCAGCATGAAAGTCATCCCCGTTCCGCTGCGTGGCACTGTGGTGTTTCTGTCAAAGATCCCTCCTGGCCTGACGCGCTGTCAAGCTTGGAGGTTAACCCCTCAGAAGTCAGCCCTCACAGTCGTTGTCTCTTAGCATCCGGTTCCTCACTAAATGTAGGTGAGAAGCCGACCTTTCGGAAAGCTTCCCAGACTCTCAGGCGCTCATACCACTGGCGCTCAAGCTCCTTGTCCGCATCAGACTTCAGGGCTGCATCACGATTCACAGAATCTCCAAGCACAGCGGCTAAGATCTCTTTCAGCTTGACCTCGGCAGCGAAGTTGGCCTTGACTGTTGCTGCGGCTTCCTCCATCTGCAGCCACTCCGTCTCCAAGGGCAAGGCGGTATCTTGAAAGAGGCGATTCAGGTCAACAGGCTTTCCATGGGTCCAAGCCGTCAGAATGTGGGATCGGACGGTGGGGGTCTGAATCGGCCGACCAGCTGCAGGACTCAGCGCAATGCTCTCCAGCGACTCTCCTTGACAGAAGCGATCGTAGGAGTGCTCCCAGGGAGGCTTTGCGCCGCCTTTGCCAGGCTTGTAGATGGCTCCCGGCCACTTCGTGGGCGGAGTTACCAGGCCGGGAGGAAGCTGCATCCGAACCCGGAGTCTCACCGGCGAGGGGATTCCTTGCACCTCCTGCGCTCCCTCGGCGGCGACCTGCTTTATCTCTCCCTGTACCTCCGCCGTAGGCTTGGCTTCGGCGATCAGGGCCGCCAAGGACTCGGCACCGGCGATGCGCACGCCTGCGCTCCTCACACCCTCCAGGGTGGGTTGCACGTAGGCAAGGGCCACGGCGGCATGCTCCGAGAGGACTGCGGCGGGCGCCAGCCGCAAGCGCACGGCTGCTTCGTCCCGCCACTTCAAGATCTTGTGCCGGAGCTCCTCCACGTGGCGAACAACCGAATCCTACACTTACACAAGACCCTGCGCTCTACGCCTATAAGGAACCAAGGAGACAGTTGAGTACAGCGCGCCTCGTGCTGCTCGGCCTTCCGCACCAGCTCAGCCTTGCCACTGTCCTTCCAATGATCAATGCCGGAGCTTGATTGGTGGTCTTTGATTCCGGCATAGGTCCAAAAAAACGAGGCAACAGGCTAACAAGTTTTATTATGGCGCCGATATCGATGAACGCACTATGATAGGGACCCAGGAGCCTTCCAGTGCTGGAGCTTCCGTATGTACCAGACCACCGGGCTGTTGTCTTCCAAGGCCTCCTGGGGCAGGTTCTGAGCATCCAAGCCGAAGCTGGCCTTGACCGTGGCAGGACAACTTGAACACGAAAAAAAAAACAACTCTGCAGTTGTCCCCGCCCCACATGACGGTTTTTTTAAGGGGCGCCCTCACAAAGCAAAAAGGAAAGCGGTCCCGTTCACAGAGACCGGGATGCGACCTCCTTTCGCCGCGCGCGGAGCTTCCGCTCCTCCTCCTCTTCGAGCTGCTGCACCGCGAGGGAAACTGGGAGCATGACTGGCGCCTTTGCCTTCAGAGCCGCCTGGCCGGAGTCCGTCAAGCTGTAGACCTCAAGGAGCGCTTGCGCACTTCGAAACATGCCAGTGCTTTTTGGTCAGAGATCCAGAGACTAGTCTAATCCCTTCCCCGTAACAATAAAACACCTCGAATAAAAAAAGCTGGCCCCAAAACCCGATCCGGTAGCTGCCCCTCTCAAACCTCCAGGTCCACTACCGAATGTGGAGCGGGGGTTAGGGGGCGGGGAAACTCCAGAGTGAGCCAGCAAGCTAGAAGCACGGGCTGTTTCTTCGGCCAAACGATACGAAATCCCCCTCATACCAAAAAAACCCTTTTGGGGGTCTTGGGCTTCTTCATACAAGGTGGGGGGGGGCTTTAATATCAGGGGGAAGGGATTAGACCGACAGGTGTTGGTCTGAGCTGCACCTCGAAGCTCGAGCGGAACTTGGCCTGCGAGGCCACCGTGGAGCGCTCCAGGTACCCTGCCTCGCAAAGGGAGAGGATCAGCTCCCGGACGACAGCCTCCTTCCTTGGGGACGAACTGAACATAACTGAACCCCAAAAGGGTTTATGGTTCATATACCTCAATCGGAGTTATAGGTAGTCTATAGGGTCTATGACCCCTCAATTTTAGGGTTCATTTATGGTCCCCCCGAGGTTCCTCATTGCTTGGGGCAGTGCTTGGCGCATCTCCTGGATCTCCTTCTGGGCCGCCGCTACAGCGGCGGCGATGCTCATGGCCCCGGGCTTCCGGGAGCCGGTGAGGATGGCCAGGATCCTCTACTCCCCTTATAGAACCTCAATAAAAGTAGTAGTTTTTTAATATCCTCTTGGGCTTTATCTAAACTAAAATATATAAACAAAAATGATTCCCAAGGGGGAAATAGGAGCTGGGTGATCGGCTGCGGGAAGCGCTGCGTGGCTGCCACGGCGCGCAGGATCGGCGCCACGGCCGCGCGGAAGTCTCGAGAGGATCCTGCCCCGGAAGCCGTGCTTGAATCAGAGGCCTGGCACCAGTCACAGGTTCCGCACTTGCCCGAAGGGAAGGCTGGCTCCTCGCCGAAGTACTCCAGGAGCCATCGCCGGCGGCAGGTGTTGGTGCTAGCGAAGGCACGCAGCCGCTGCGTGGAGCCCTGAACGACCTTGCGCTGCTCTTCGCTCAGGCCCTTCAGGTAGAACTCTGAGCTGTAGCTCCCGAAGTCGCTATCGGCAGAGATCAGCTCGCAGACGGCCTCAAAGCCGTCGCGGCCAGCACGGCCGATCTGCTGGAAGTACTCCTCCACCGTCTTCGGGGGCCCATAGTGGATGATGCGCCTGACATCCGGCTTGTCGATGCCCATTCCAAACCTTGGCGAAGTCATGCAGCAAAAGAGACTTCTGAAGTATGACGTATGCCAAGTTCATGGCCCAGCTGTTCAAGTTCAACTGTATCGATGTCGAAACCATACCGGGGTCGAACCGAAACGTGTCGCCCGTGGTATCGACTGCTGCCCCCCCCCCCCCCCCTCCCCATGCCACAGTAAGCCTGCACAACCCTCCCTCCCCGGAAGAGGCACCTCAAGCAAAACAAAGCAGGGCAGGCCCCAGGAAGAACACACACACACACACAAAACGGTCACAAAAGTTTGGTTCGTGGTGCAGTTCAATGAAGGACCTCGGGTCTCCACAGTCAAGAATCACGTGCTGCAGGTTGGCTGACTGCCAAAAACCAGTGGTGGGTGACGCTACGGCAAATCAAGAGGCTGTTTTTTTTAGCTGTCGAGGCTGTTTGCTTCCACCTGGTGGCGTAGGGATGGACAGAATACTGGGTGCGGAGCAAGACAGACAGCGCGAAGAGCTCCAGAAAGAAATGGACGAGATAGAAAGAGAGAAGAGAGAGAGAGAGAGAGACAGACCGACAGGCAGAGCCAGAAAAGGCAAAAGCCAGAGCCAGAGCGATGGAACCGGACGCGCAGCCAGCGAGACGATGGAAGCATTGGAAGCACACGGGAGCATCCGCGAGACACCACGCAGACCATGGAGAGCATGTTATGCCAGTTTCCTAATTGCTATGCTGCATTCGTCATCCCCTGAAACCTTAACCCTACGTACTTCAGAATCTCAGGGCAGGCAAAGGGATCAAGTAGGTTGCAAGAGCCATGAATCCTTCAATGCTTATGTCTGGGTCCCTTTCCCCCTGTGAATAGTACGGCCCCCCACTATATTTTCAAAACAGGGGCGCCCCAGAAGTTTCCAGAAGATAACTCCGGATTTGATGCCGGAAGGCGCCACGGTTGCGACGATGACCGGGATCTGGCCGTTCAGAAACGATACGTGCGCCTGCCAGGATGGGCTGTCAGGCCTCAAAATCCCCATCGTGAACCCTTACATAAAGGGCCTTTTAAGGTATTATAGGGTATAGCCTTAAAATCCCCATAATGAACCCTATAATGAAGGGCCTTTTAAGGCATTCTAGGGTATAGTAGCCCCATCCTGGTGGTTACAGAGTCCATATTACGGTGGAGCCCTGAAAGAACGCCCAGAAAAGAGTGTCAAGAGTGGGGTTGTCCCACACCCTAGTCCGGACTGCAAACCGCACGCGCTATGGATGGAGAGCCTCTTAATGAGGTCCTTGTTTAAGAGAGGCAGAAGAGGGTTCAGAAGGGTTCCCTTTTAAGGGCACCCCTTAATCCTACGTAGGATCCATTCCCAAGGCCCCTCATGCCTCCTCACGCTCCCCTAAGGACAGGCTGCCATGGTAGGCAGCCACCTTGAGACCGTTATTCTGGAGAAAGCCGGCGAGTGCTTCAGTCTCACTCTGCGTCATGGCGTACCTCATTGTCTCGCGTATCTGCACGCGCAGATCAGGCCTATCGATGTCTCTCTCTCTCTCTCTCTTCTTTCTGGGGAAGGGTTCCCTCCCAAAGGGGAGGGTCGACCCTGCCCCGTCGTTGGGGCGTGGTGGGTCCATTTTCCTTGTCCTTTTCTTATCTTTCCCATCCAGAGCATGCAGCGCATTCCAAAGGATGCCATATGCAAAGAGAAAGGAATGAGTGTTCTTGTATCGATGATCAAAGAGGGAGGAATGAAGATATGAAGAAGTTTGGAATGATTTGAACCAACACTTAGAGAGGGCTTTAGGGGGCACCAAATCTCTTATTAAATACGCCCATGAAAACTAACAAAAAACCCAGAAAAAAAGATAGAGATATTAAGGAAGAAAATGCCCCTACACATCTAATAAAACATACGGGGGTCTTTTAGCTCATTTTAATTTAGCTCTTTTGATTATGCTTGCTTCACTCGTTTCTCGCTCATTTCCTTTGTTCGCTGTGCTCATTTATGAATTTCCGAGCCAGTCAAGAACCCTTGCATCTGGACTCCAATACACTAGCCTGTGCCAATCATCCACTCATTAGCTACAGTTCGGCCTTCAATGTGGTCAGAATGTACACTCAGTCATCTCTTTATCTTCAAGCTGTTCGTTTCGTCCTACTGTGACTTCATTAACTCCATTCCATCATCTAACTCGCTTCTATCATTCCAGTAGTTCCAGCCACTCAATGGGTTACGCAGTTCGCTGACTAATTTGCTCGTTCACATTGTTGTTATGCACCGATTTGGCTAGCTGCGCTCGTCTGCTTGAGACTTCAGGTGTCCCGACTCGCTCTTTCATTAACAGTAGTCATTGCCTCGCATGTGTCTCTATTTGTGTGTATGCATGCAGGCATTTATGCTCATGTATGTATGTGACATAAGAGAGGAACCAAGTAACACCTCGCCCCCACGATTGGGGATTACATGAGGCGGGCTGCACGATGGTGCTGCCTTTCATGGCCGCGATGTCTTGAGCGATCCTCCGGTAGTCGGCCGCCTTCCCGGTGTCTTCAAACATCCGACAAGGCTACGCAAACAAGCAGACAACCCCTCATACACGCCTTATCCCCCCGCTTTATACCTGTATCCCCTTATACCGGAATGTCGGGAACTACCAATTCAAAGCAGGACCGGCCCGGGAGGTCTTCCGGCTGCAGCGGATCTGCAGGTTGGGGCGGTCGAAGGAGTTGCGAGACAGCAGCGCCTGACGGGGTTTCGAGTCAATTATGGCTTTAAGCTTTGAAATCTGGGCTTCTCTCCCCTAGGATTCAGCACTTTTAGGGAAGCTTGGATGAGATTCGGGTTCCAAGAGTGGAAGGTTCGCTGCTGTGCCTGTCGAAGCTTGAGCTGCTGCACGATATCCTGTGGGCCAGTCAAGAGCTTAGTCTTTCGGGGTGTAGGGTTATGAGGCCCGATGGGCTTCGGATGGAAACTGAAACTTGGAGACAATCATGGCACTGCCTTTCGCACATGGTGGTGGGGTCCTCCTGGACGCGGGGGGATGCGGTGGCTGTGAGCGCCATGAGCGGTAGCTGGGGCAACTCTTCACGCAGTGCCCGGAGGCTGCGGTAGGCAGGTCGGAAGTCGTGGCCCCACTCGGAGATGCAGTGGGCCTCATCAATTGCTGCCAGCAGCTTCGGCATACTCCTCAGCCGTGAGAGGAAGTTGGAGGACGTCAGCTTCTCAGGCGTCACATAGACCAGGCAGAACTCGCCGGCCAGCGCGGCTGCCTCTGCACGAGGGTCGAATTGGGCTGAGCCCAGGAAGACGGCGCGGAGGCGGCTGCAGGAGCCCTGGGCACCCACGGTCCTCAAGACAACCGCAGCTTGTACTAACAGCTTGGAAGCTTATGGAGCATCTTATAGGATGCTTTAAAAAGCGACTTAAGCTTAGTCTTCCTGGGCCAAGGGGCGCATTGAAGCGATGGACCTGATCCTGCATCAGTGAGATCAGCGGGGAGACCACCAGCACGGTGTGGCCCAAAACCGCGGGAAGCTGGTAGCACAGCGACTTGCCCGCGCCAGTGGTCCAGAAGACCCCGACATCTCGGCCCGCCAGGATCGCCTGGACCACCTGGGGACTCCGCAGGGGCTGTGTGAGGGTGAGGTTGCTTTGGGCAGAAAATCGTTTAGATCTTTTTGGGGGCCACGCCTCCATCTGCTGGCCGCGGAAGGCCGCATGACCAAAGTACTCCCTCAGAGCAGTCTCGAGAGCATCGGGTGCCATTCCCTGCATCTCCATCTCTGTGCCGTATCCGTGGCTTCAATCAGAGCCCATCTGCTGCGGGACAGAGGTGCTGACAACGTGTGGCAGCGAGTGTCGTGCAAGCATGTGTACGCGTTGAAGCTGATGGAAGCTCTTCGGACGCAAACAGAAGATGACCCGAGATGCAAGGGGGCAAGCTGGATCGATCGTGGTGACAGCAGAACTGCGCAATGAACCACGGCAGCTTTGCAGCTGTATTCTGAATTCTCAAGGCCCCGTCACCCCTACAGCGGCCCTGCAGATCTCTGAAAAGCAAGAAGTTTGCGGGGCCTGACGCTGAAACCCACACAGCAGCCGCCGCAGCGGACTTTGCTCATGCATAGCCCGAGGCCCCTAGACCCGCTTGTGACGTGGATGGTGCGACGCTGGGTGTGCTTGAGGCATCCCGGTTCAATCTGAGAGCCAATGCTGCTGCAGGCTCGCTTTGCTGCTGTATCTTCAATAAGTGGGTGGGAATGCCAACAGAAGCAGGACCTTGACTGACGTATTTGGCGGCAACTTGATCAACTTGTAACTTGAAACAGCTGCAAGGCGCAGGTACGAATTCACGGCATGTTGTAAACCGTCTTCGGCGAAGCAGCCGCTTGCTGCTGCCTGCACGTCCCTTTGCTAGCACACCCTTGGGTCAAAGTTATGGTCGATGTTTCTGTGTTCTGACGGGGCGGATACTGCTAATTACTATACTAGCTATCGGGGTGAGGCCAGCATGGACTTGGCCCCAAATGTTTACCACAAAAAGTCAACGTAGCAACTTTGAATGAGCGTCCCACGTCCGAGATGTCAACGAGCAGATTTCCCTTGACTGCCTCCTGGAGCTGTTTCGGGTTTCTGTGGTGGCACACCAAACAACGTGTGGAGGTTCTGCATGTTTCAGCCTCTGACAAACTTGTGGTCTGTTGCAACACAGCAACGGCCTGCAGTACCAACGGGCAAGTGCACCTTGTGTAGCCGACTATATGATCGTCAGAGAATGTCAGAGCACGTATGTCTCTGTGCATGTGCAGGTATATTAAATAAATAAATCAATCAATATATATATATATATATATATATATTGATTTATTTATTTATTTATATTTATACATTTATATATGTACATGTGTATATGAAGCCCCTCGACCCAAAGTATTGAACAGTAAATCCTTACCTGAGCCTGCACTGCGGCTCCTCCCGCCACTTCAAGAGCATCGGCATCTCAGCGCAGCAGCTCTGAGTGACTAATGCGAAGCATCTGCTAGCTCAGCAGTAGCAGTGATGGGTCCCAGGGTCCACTGTCCAAAGGCCCAAAGGGCTGTGCATGTAGCCGACTCTTTATCTGTTGCCAAGCAAGAACAACTGTTTGGAATGAACATATTCATCCAAGCTGCAGGCCTCAAGAAGCACTGCGCTACGCAACAGATAGCCCAAGAGAGTGCAGAACCGAAACCAGCACGTATATGTACATATGTATAGCACGAGTCTGGACAACATGGTCCGTGCACGTGTGCAGTTGCACACTCACAGCAATTCATCCGAGCTTAGATCACTCCGCTGTGGGTTCACCTAAAGATGCCCAAGAGGGTCTTCCTATGAAGCTGAGTCAGGCGCACTCTTCTTCTGCCAGACCTAGCGAGCTTTTGGACTCTCTCGGCCGTGGTTAAACGAATACTCATAGGCTTCAACCATGATGCTCCCCCGGGCACCAAGGACGCACGCAAACGGCGTTCGTGGCTATGCCTGCTATAGGTACTCCATCTATTCATCCCCAAGGCCCTGCAACCAGGCGCAAAGCAAGCTCAGTCGAATCAAGGACCGACAGAGGTTCACTTCAGTCTAGTTTCCACCCGCATAGACACAGGACCCACGCAGCCTAGCGCCGCGTCCACGTTCCACTTTCCATTTCCCTTTTTCGGGCACAGAAGCCTGAAACTGCACACTGGGAGCCCACGCCTGATCAAAAAGTTGTCTGAGCTCGGGAGTCTCGAGGGAGTTCTCAGCATGTCGCTTCGGCCCACACGACATCCGACAGGCTCACCATGATCATCATTATGAACTTCCATGAACGTCATGCAAGCATTTACAGCCCTATATTCCTAAACCTTGCAACATCCTGAGACTAGTAGGCCACTACAGGAACTTTCAGCTTATGGCGCATGTATGCGCATGGCTCACTGCAGAACTTTTGTTGGCACTACTCCTCGATTGAACATCTCGGATGTGGCATTTCATGATTGCACCAACCAGGATGGGCAATTATACCCTGTAATCCCCAAAAAGGCCCTTTACAGGGTTCATTATGAAGATTTTAAGGCCTAATAGCCCATCCTGGAAGGGACTATTCACCCGGAACCTCAAAAAGTTCACAGGCAAGCGGCTCGGTAGGAAAACGCCAGGCGGGACGCTTTGGCAGCGACGTGGGCTGCAAACTTGGCGGCATCGATGCAGACCTAGCACACACAAACACGCACACATACGCATAGCTGCATACATTCACATGATTCACACGCATACATGTACAGACACACGCAGATACACGAGATGGCCTATCTATGCATAGCACGCATATATGTGGAGAGCCTCAGGGACCATGGAAGCCATCCTCAAGTTCTCCAGGCATCCCCTCCTTTCTTGACACCTGTGGACTCAACCGTCATGAGCGCAATTCGGCTTCGTTGAGAGAACTGGAAGAACTCGAACAAAATCAGGTGAGGGCTTCGTGGGGCTACGTGGCCATACCTGGCCGAGCTTGATGCTGTTTGGTTCAGTCTTGAGGGTCTCCTTGCTCGCGACTGCTCGTCCCCAAGCAGATCTCCCCTTCCGAGGTGTGTTCCCAAAATCTACTGCCACGCTTGCAGTGCCCATGTATGGGAGTGCTGCCTTGCGCGTTCCAGGTGAAGAAAGATTCTACGCCAAGCCCCAAGCCCTTATTGCCATTATTACATGATTATTACCAGTATTGCTATTATTGCTACTGTTATTATTACTAACTATGACTTTTATGCTATCATCTATTCTTGCGATTATTGCGATTACTACGCTTACCACTATCACGAATAACTATGATTACTAGTATTGCTACTATTATTATTATTATGATTACTTGAAGGCGTTCTGAGCCCCGGAGCGCAAGGCTTGTTTATATGACTTGCCAGGGCCCCTGCCAAAAACCCAGCACGCGTCTGATGCCACCGCAGGGCAACGATATCCTTCGGAGCAGGCAGGGCCCCAAAACGGCCCGAGGAGGTCGCTTTGAACGCGCCTGCACTACACTCTGGCACTCCACGCAGAGCAGCCACCGAGGATGCAAGAAGAGGAATCTCCCAGGATGCACCGTAACCCTGATAAACCCGAAACCCCTTTTTGCTCCCTTCGTGGGTACTGTAGAGAGAGGGCCTGGATTACCGGCCTCTCGCTTTCCACAGCCCGCCCCCGCCTTGACATCGGTGGGAAGATTTTTCAAGTCGACCACCTGGAGATGTGGGGCCGGAACTGCGCAATCATGAGCAATGCTGCCCAGTATCTCACAAGGAGAGGGGGGGGGAGTGGCACGCGAAAACCCGTATAGGGGCTATCTCGAGGCAAACCTTTTACTCCAACCTTGATAACGCTTTGTAAACCAAGTCCTTCACACATATTTAAGGGGTGGGTAAGTGGGGGTGGGAGGGCGGCGTTGGAGAAGTTAGGAGAAAGCTTCTGAAACTGGCATCGGTGTGGGGAGGTGGGGTATGCTTGTGAAATCCAAGACATTCGACGTCTTCAGTCTTGAGTCCCTCCCTGAAACTGAAATCTTCGCATCACAGAGCCCTTCTTCAAAGCCGGCCACACACACACATGAAACCGAGGGATTCTCGACACATCCCTCGACTCTGAACCTATCCCAGCCCAAATTCCCCGATTGCCGTTCCCCGAGTACTTGGGAACAGACTTGGTCGACATTCCTTGGACTGCATTGAAAGGTCTGCTTCATGGAACATTTCCCCGGAGTCAACCTTCCTGCTGCCCCTCACTGACGCGAGGTATGAACGGCACTTCTGGGGTTTAGGAGTTACATGTGAAGCGCGAAGTCATACAAGTTGTGCGCAAAGATCCGGATGGGTCCAGGGATGCCTCTTTCGTTGCACCCTAAACCCTAAACCCTTTTTGAACCCAGGCTCTGAAAACCCTAAACCCTAACCCTAAACCCTGTTTAGTACTGACCTCGGTGGGGTTCTGAGACGAATCCGTGCCTCTCTATGACTTCATGGACAACATGGGCTAGGAGGCATTGCACATCAGCCTAAGACTGCACGTGGGCGTGCAGTCTTACACAAAGACGGGAGTCTGTCCACTCTGCGCCTGTTCAGGTGCTTTTCACCTTGTGGAGAAGCCACATTTGCAAGGCGGGCAAAGTGTAACCCCTAGCAGCCCATCCCAGACTCAACCCTGAACCCCCCCCCCCCCCGAAAAAGATTAGCCTCGGTCCAGCTCCCCGTGAAAAGGCCGAGGCCACGGCGGAGGATAGTTTTGCGCTGCGAGGGCCTCGCCACAGGGCAGCAAGACAAAACCCAAGGCACCTCCATTGAAGCCGCCCACCCCAAACCAAGAAGCCCCTCCTCCCCCAAGCCCCAAACCGAGTGGCAGGTAAAACCGGAAAAAAATCTGGCTGCCGCTACAAATCTCCGCCAAGCCCAAAAGCCGCAAGAGCCCCAAACGAAGCACATCCCCCCACACCTTGCCCCAAACAGAAATCTCCCCGGAGCCTCCAACCAAAGAACCCCCAAAACCCCAAAGGCAAACCTCCAAAGCTGCTCAACCAAAAACCTCAAAAACCACCTTGAACTCTCAGACCAAATCCAAAGGCCACGCCTCAATGTCCGCGTGCTCCTGCAACGCAGCATGATCCCGACAGTAAATTTGTTTGTTTTTTTTTGAAATGCAATGACTCCCTTTCTCCTGTTTGGGGTTTAGGGTTTATAGGGTTTAGGGTTTAGGGTTTTTGGGGCTTGCACTCTGGAACCTTGCACATGCCCAGCGTAGCTCACCGCGCAATTTTCAGTAGCTAGAAGCAGGCTCACACAACTCTTGCGGGCTAAACGACGGTAGGGATAGCTCAGACTGGATTCAGTCATGGCCCCCGGGGCACGCGCGCGCAAGGCACGCGTGGGCCCGAATGACCTACGACTTCAAGAGTGGGATGAAAAAGTTGGATGCAGGGCACCCGCAAGCCCTTCGTCAACAGGTTTGGCCAAGGGAATGCAGCTACAAAACTGCAGAGCAGTTTCTGCACAAGCCTGAGAGTTCTTGACTTGATATCTTCTGGAGAAAGAGAATAAGTGATAGTCTTTATCGTTTCACAACCATGTGAAGGACAGTTGATGCTCGATCCGAGTACTTGACTCTGCTTTGTTTGGCTTGGCGCACACAATTATGCGTGATGCCATTCGGTGAGCATAGGCTCCCAAAGGCACCGCACCAAAATGGAGAGGATTGTGAGGTTGTCTAGCAACTTCTCACCGTTTGCATGGCCATGATCTTCAAGCGTTCTTCTGAATGGCTTCGCAGACCTGGGCGGCTGTGGCGAAGCAAACGCCTGGCACTTGCTGAAGGCGTCCAAGTGCTTCCGTGAGCGCAGTCACTCTCGCAGGAGTGCCCGCCACAAATGTGTGCATGCCCAGGCACACAACCTTCTCGCCATCTTCTTTGGCCAGTTGGCGGACGTGGTCCTCAATTGCTTGGGCATACTGGCGACCATCAAAGTGCTTGGTCAAAACGCAGGAGAAGTCGTTGGTCTCCATGCAATAGGGCAAGCACAGAGTGCGCTTGCCACTCTCATGTGAGAGGTAGTACGGCACGTCGTCGTCCACGAAGTCCAGGAAAGCTTCGATTCCGGACTGCACCGCAATTTCAGGGGTGCGCTCCGTGACAGAGAAGCCCGGAGTCAGCCAGGTCTTTGGCCTGGCGCCCAGGCTTTCTTGAAGATCGTCCAGGGTCTGCTTGAAGTATGCCTCCTCCTCGCTTCGGCTCAGCTTGGCAGCACCGGAAGAATTATTCAGACCATGGGCGCCGAGCTCCCAGTTCGACTCCTTCAAGGCCTTGGCCACATGCTCCAACTTGGCTGCCTCGCTGTTGATAACGGCCGTTGCCGGTATCGCCAAGCCCTTGAACATGGCGGAAAGCCTCTGCAAGCCACGGCGGTTGCCGTAATCCCGCCAGCCTCTGTTGGCAACCTCGGGGATCGATTGCAAGTGGGGCTGGATGGAGGGGCCCCCACTACCAGGGACGAAAACCTCCACGTTCACCACCGGAACCACGAAGACCTTCTTGCCTCCGGCCCAGCCAGGCTTCACCTCATGCCGCGTCATGTCAGTGCCATAGCCTTCAGAGCCCATCAGAGGCATGGCCACTGGGCTAGGCACCAGCCCATGTCGCTGAACGAAGGGGCGGGGATCAGGGAACTTGAGGGTGAAGTCAAACTGCTCGGCCATGCGAAGCTTGAAGCAATCGCCATGGTTCATGGGTGCTGGCTTTGCCATCGACGCAAGGGCTTCCACCACTTCTTCGGTGTTCATGATGAAGGCACTCACAGGTGGGCCACAGGAGACGGGGAAGTCGTGCCAGGTCCCCTTCTTCAGGATCAAGCCCATCCCAGCCGGGATAATGTAGGCCTTGACGCGGTCGGGATCGGGCTTGGCTCTGTCCTTCTCGTTCAAATCCTCGCGGTCATGCGTCGGCTCACCCAACACGAAGAGGCCCGGATTCTTGCCAAGGAGAATGAAGCCCTGAGTCATTTCCATGTGTCGTTCCAACCAGGATACGCTGTGATCCTCTCGCCAATGGATCTGCGAGGTACGGACGCATGCCTGGTCCTTCCAGTCAGCGTGCTCGTAGTTTGCACCCTCAAGCACCGTCTTGTAGAATGGGATTCCCAAGCCAGGGTTCACGACGGTGTCGTCGACAAAGTAGCCGAGCTTCTGGGTGTTCTCGCGCGTGGCGATGACGAGATCCAAGGTCACAACGTTCTCGTGCTTGCGCTTCTCCGGCATTCCTCCAGGCACACGATCGTGGCTGAGTAGAGGAAAATAAGCTGACGCTTGACAGAATCTGTCAGAACTCAAAGCGGCTTGGGCCAGCACGGAGAAAACAAAGAAACTCAACAACTTGAATGCAGCCATCATGGAAACGGGGATGCGCAGCACAGCGTGGGCAATGTTTGCTGGGGCTCCTCGGGAATCTTGAAGAGCTCTTCGTGGTGATCCACGGCCTGCAGTTTTTGTGGCAGTGTCCTAGAACCCCTGTCCGTGCCCAGAGTGCGCTCATCGAAATACAGACAAGGAAGCCAAGGCTATGTGGGGCTAAGCTTCAAGTTGATGCTTGACTGCTCTGCAGTTCAGATGGGCTGTTCATGCTGTTCAAAGGTCGTTGGTAGCAATGGCCTGGTACATTAATGGCGCCCCGTTCTGTAGGATCTGAGGTTCACGGCCCATCCCAGGATACCCTCTGAGGCTTGCGGCCATCTGAAAGGTCCGGCGAAAGCTGTCTTCGAAGGCATCTGCCTAGGATACCCATCCCCGGGGCCCTTTTGTTGGGATCAGGGAGGCTTCGGGTGAAAGGGAGGCCCGGCTGGGACTCAGCCCCCCGTAGCGCCCCCCAAAAGGCAAAGCTATCGTGCCCTCAATGTCCGGCCCCATCTTGCTCTCTGCAAGTACACGGAGGACTTATAAGATCCGGAAAGCGCGTCTACACCCAATAGGACAAATCGGGAGGTCTGCCAGAAAGAACGGTTATAGCCTTTTTGACAGGCTGCGCCACACGGGACTTTCAGATGACTTCAGTCTGCTCGCGGTCACAGAAGTGTCTTAGCTTACATAGCCCTATATAGAGGCTTGGATTATGTTGGATTGAGGCCTGTCGTCCTGACTGAAAGCGGCACTTTAGGATTCGAGTCGCAGGGTGTCAGGCTGTGCTGTGGTATTGGGCATTGATTCAGAAAAAGCAGGGTCTCAATTTACTGAAGGGTTCAAAGGGCTCGCAGATTCAGTGCATCAGGACACCAATCCCTGAAGTCTGAGCCTCCACACGCCCAGGACCTCACCTGTCTGCGCGGAAATTTCGCCTGCAAGGCGGTCACCCTGTGTTAGGAAGCCTCACTTGGGATTCAGCAGGTTTGCTGGATTTGCGCTTCAGAAAACGAGAAGGTGTCCTGAGCCGGAGGATCGCCATTGCCCACAGCCTTTCGGTCGCCTTTTTCAGCTCATCAGCCCCTGGCTCCTGAAACGTGCTGCTGCGACAACCAGCCGCAACCTGCTGTACTCTGTACAAGGCACGTGAGGCGACAATGCCTCAGGAGCGAAGCGGCTTGTGCACTGTCCTCAGAGCCCTCTGCGGCTTGGCTGGGGCTCATGGATGCGCAAAGCTTAGGTACAAAGGTCCGTGAAGGTACCTGGCAAATGCTTGGGCATTTTTTATGAAGTGGCCGTTTTACTGCCACAACCCAGCAGGATCTACAGCCTCAGTCACGCTGGTGCTTTCGGCACCCTTCTGGGCAAAGCCTGGGCTTCCAACAGAGGAGTGAAATTGCTTGACACCGTCTGAAGACCCATCGTAAGACGAAGACGCAGAACACCAGGAGTTTCGCCGAGCCGCGTCGGCCCCATGCGCGGCCAGTTCGGCTGGGCGCCGGACCTCTCTTCAAGAGAAGGCTGGGATGTGCATGTTGGGGTGAAAGTAGGTTCCCTGTGCTGTAGTACCCTCACGCCCAGAAATCGACATGCTCAAAACAAGATCCGGAAGCAAGCGCTGCCGCGGCCTTCACAAGCAGCGGCGGTGGCAGCAAGATGGGCAGGGTCCGAATCAAAGGACTCCTGCTTCAGGGCACAGGAACATGAGCTTAGATTTAGCGACTTCGTCCTGTCGATTGAGGTGGCCCATCGAAACATCATAGATCACCCCAGTCGCTCTTCTCAAGACTCTCGCCTCGGATGGCTCTGATGCTGGGCTCCGAGTGGATGCTGTCGCTGCCTGGGACATACGAATACGGGGGGAAAGGTCAGCGACCTTCTAACCTTGCTGTGTGAGACAGTGAGGGGATCTGAGTGTGGCATTTTTGGACAGCATTCGTCAAGCTGGCAGCTGAAGCTGGCGAGACAAGTGCCATTTCACGGGTTTAAGGGGTTTTTCCCACCCGTTTCGCATGCGTTGACGTGGAAAATGGCACAAGTTCAGGTTGCGACTGTCGGGTTTCGGGTTTAGGAGTTTAGGGTTTAGGGTGCTTCATCAAACATTGCCGGGCCTCTGGTGCGCCGCATGCCGCACCTGAGGAAGCTGCTGAAAAAAGTCTTGCGACACCGGACAAAGCACCAGAAGGACAAGTACATTCAGGCCGCCGTGAGCCATGTGAAAAGCCGGCTCCATCACGAGTAAACCCCACAACAAAGATGATATTCCCGAAGCCCTCTCATGCTCAAGCAGAGAAAGATATGATGCACGCGTAGTTCAGAGCTAGCACACATTCAAGTTCCACTTGAAATGCGAGAAGTCGGCTACGTGGCCCAGTAATCCACGCATCCTGCCCCCTCCACACCCCGATGGAGCTGTCGCCGCGCGGCTGGCAGTGGCGATGTGCGTCACGCACTCAGGGCAAAGGCCATCCCCGGCCTTTCAAAGGTCAAGTAGGGTTTTAGGGTTTAGGGGATATTTAGGGCTTATAGGGTTTGCAGACTTCCTACCCCAGCCATCGCGGCTTTTCATGCCCGAGGGCCTTAAGAGGAATGAAAGGGCACACGGAGTCTGCCAAGGATCATAACCTGAGAAAACACTGCTGCCTACCTCCCATAAGGGCCTCAAGAAGACTCCAGGGTAGCTGAAGCGAACACCCACGACACCTTGGAGGGCAGTTGGGACGGGGCCACGGCCAGGTGAGGGCACTGTCAGGGCTCCGAACTCCCACTCCAGCCACGGAAACCGTGCAAAGAAGTCAGGGCTGGGAACCTGGGCCTGCTGCTCCTCCAGTGATGAACTAGGTTTCCTGTGGTCGGCTGCCCGTGTGAGACATCCCAAGGACGAAGCATCCAAAAAGGCAAGTCCTGAGACCCCGAGACCCGAATTGAGTGAAATTCAGCGACGCCACTCTACAGAGAAGTCCTCTGCGATGCCAGCGGCAAAGCCTCGCTTGTGCAGCACCGTTCGCTGCGCACGGCCCATAATTGTGACAACAGGGGTTTGGCACGCAGAGCTCTGGGAGGGTTCGGGCCTATGACCCATGCCTGCGCCAGCACAGACACCCGCAACCCCCCTTGGCCCGGAAACCCGAACAAATCGTTGCGCCGACGTGGCCAGGCTCGGCAACCGCAGGGTCCCGGGCTTCGCGGGCTCCACCTCCTTCGCTGCCTTGGCTTCAAGGCGTCAAAGGGCCAAAAGCGAGATTTTGTGAGGTTCAGGGTTCAGGGTCTGAAGAGCAGAACATCTTTGGTCGTGGCTTGCGGGCCCATGTGGCCACGACCTTCAGATCGCCCCAATGCGGTGAGAACTCCGTGTGCTTGTCCAGAAGCTAAAGAGCCGGCATCCACCTTAAGAGACCTCTTGCAGCAGAGGCTCGGCTTGTGCCTTGCTCCCGGGGAGCCTCTCCAGGGCTGAGCTGCAGTTTGCACTTTTTGCGGCTGTCGGATGCTTGGGGCTCTTAGAGTGATTGGATGGATGGATCGGTGGGTTGATCTGTAGGCAGGGTGCCGCTGCGTAAGGGCCCCGTCCCCTCCGCGACAATCATCGGCACCCTTCACCGAAGCAAGCGGCGGTGGCTCCCCGAACATCCTCGAATTAGATACGAGTAGAGATACGAGTACAGGTGCGACTAGTGCGTGCCCACATCCTCCATTCTCACCCTGCGCTGAGGACTAGCTTGCTTGGCAACTGTGTCAGCAGGTTAGCGTGATTGGGACTTTAGAATCTTTTGGGGTGTTTTGGGCTTTTGCAGCTTCGGACTCTTGCTTGCGCGGGCATGGTTTCCAGGTAGCCGGCCGCCGCTGCAAAATAACTGTATTACAGGCAGGTAATAAATGTGTCGTCAAGAATATGTAAACTCCTCACAACAACTGTCTATGCAGTGGAGAAGGTTTTCAAGAGCGCCGATCTGCGCTTTAGGACTCTCAACGCGCTTTAGGACTCTCAACACTATATACCAAACCGATGAAGCATCTGTGCACCCTAAGCCAAGGCTTGGAGTTGCCAAGGTGAGATCCACGATCAAATGACTTCTGCCCAGTCGTACGACTCATCCTTGAATAAGACTAAACCGACTAAAAATGCAAAATCTCGTCCCGAGGCCAAAAATGGACCCTGCCAAAGCCCTCCAGGGCCTGACTTTCAGCACTGGCGCGATCCAGTTGCTCCTCCTTCGGGTTTTTTGTAAGATTACACTGCAGGACCAAGTGAGTTCGGCACCAGCAAGTGATGGAGATTGTCGGGCATGCGATATGTCACCCCAAAAGCCCCCTTCATCTGAACCCAAAACCCGAAACCCTTTTGCAGCAGGCTTGCGTGAACCTTAAACCCTAAACCCTAAACCCTAAGCCCCTGAAGACCAAAAAAACCCTCAGCAGCTTCCTCGGCTGGCTCAGCCTCAGGGCGGCACTATTTGCGATCGTGTTGAGGTTCGGGTTTAGGGTTTAGGGTTTAGGGTTTAGGGTTTAGGGTTTAGGGTTTAGGGTTTAGGGTTTAGGGTTTAGGGTTTAGGGTTTAGGGTTTAGGGTTTAGGGTTTAGGGTTTAGGGTTTAGGGTTTTTGCCACCCGCCTAGCTGAGCCCAGAGGGCCACTCTGCAGGGACAAGTCGGGGAAACAGTCGGAGAGAGAGGGGTGGGAATATCAAAAACCAGTGCCAGTCTTGCAACAACAAACCTCAACAAAAACCATCTCTCTCGAAAGCCGGTTCGTCATGCTTCAGAGGCCTCCCTTCCCAATCAGGGTTTAGGGTTTAGGGCAGGAGGCTCTGTAGGTTGAGGGGTTTCTCGAGGTGAGAGTAGCTGAGGTGAGATTCTTGACATCTTCACCCTGGACTCGAAAGCCTCGGGCGATATATATATATATATATATCTCTCTCTCTCTCTCTCCCTCTCTATATTCTTAGTCTTCTATTCTTCTGCTGCTGCTTCTGCTTCTTCTTCTGGGAATGAAAGCCAAGGGTGGAGAGAGAGATATATATATATACACACACACACACATCTGCATGTACACATTCTCTCTCTCTCTCTCTCTCTCTCCTTCTTCTCCTTCTTCTTTTCATATTCTTGTTTCTTCTTCTGTGGGGCTTGAAGGGCACGCGCACCCCTCTCTGTCTCTCCGCCATCCCCGAGGGTCTCGCCACGCCAGGGCCGCATGGGCACGTTCCATTACATATAGTTCTTTGTTTTTGTATTTGTTATCATCATTGTCAGTAGTATTCTTGGTATGTACTAAGTGATAACAACAAGAATTCATATTTCTATCTGTATCGTCTCAAAGCTCGATACCTGCACTTCAACATCGCGCACCCAGACACCCTTACAAGCCCTGCATTGAACCCAGGCCTTGGGATGTGTCCCGCTTATACTCAAAGTCCTTCATAGGGATCATCATAGGGGGTACTAGAATCCCACCTAAGGACTGTTAGGTATATTATAAGGGGGAACATCCCACGCCAGGCCTTTGAAGAGGAACTGCAATGTCTGGCCTTCTCTTTTGCCTCCTCGGCCGCAAGCTTTGCGGCCTTCTTCTTTGCAATCCACTCCACCTGCTCTCCTGAGTTTTCCAAGCGGAAGCACTTAAACAATTTGCAGCACGACTTAGAAACCGGTCTTCAGCTCGGCGATTTCTAGACTACAAACAGAACTTCCAGCTATCCTGGCCTCTTGTAGGCCACTTGTTGTGCAAACTGGACTACTGCTGAGGGGCCTGTCCCGCAAACGCACGCGAAACACCGACGCCAACTCTGATGCCTTCCGAGAAACGCGCTTGCTCCAGGACCCACTGTGGAGCCGCCTTGACGACTTTGCCGGCCTGCCGGGACAACCGCAAACCCTAAATCGAACCCAACAGCCCCATAACCCCACTACTTCCCCGTGCTCCCAAAAGCAGAAGAGCAAACCTACCCAAAGAGTCCCGACTCTCAGACACCAAGAGATTGAGCTACCGACGCAGACTGCCGACTCTTATGGCTAGCGTCTACATCTGGACTTCACTACTCGCGCAAGGCCGATCCGTGTCGGGTACTGATTGGAGATGATCTGCTCAGTCAGGCTCAGGATACTGGACCAGAAAAGACTAAACCACTCGTCACAGATGACTCGCCGATGTGCCGCTGAGCATCTAAAGCCCCATGCTTGTCGCCGATGCGCTGCAGACGTGCCAGGTTGCGCTGGGCCCGTTCGAGTTCTACCTGCCAGCATTGCAAATCTACCAATTGCTTAAGAACCCCCCCCCAAAAAAAAAAAGAACAATATACATAAATATATATATATACACGTATATATATATATATATATTCTTCGTTACAAGGGTAATGTAGGAATGATTATTTTTCATTTTGGGGGTTCTTAAGCAAATAGTAGAAATGCGGTAGAAGTGGAGTGCTGCCAACAACGGTAGGGGATAAGCGCCAGTCGCGAAACAATGTGGTTATGCATGTTATCGTTTGCATGAAGCTAGGTTGCTGCTTCTGGGCAGGGCAATATCAGTGACACCATCAACCTCCATGCCCCATAGCAGCAAGCCTCTACCCATTTTGCCAAAAACTGCGCCTGATTGGAAGCTGCACGGAGCTCGTCCATGGCATCAATCCTCATCCCAGAATCAGTGACAGTTTCGTGCAACAAGGATAGCGCACAAGGCATATTCTGCGATCAGTTGGCCTTAGAGCTTTGGCCGGTGTGCCAATGGTCCTGGACTTTAAGCTTTGCAACCCCTCTACGAAGGATGGACCATCACCAAAACTCTGGTGCTTAGTGCTGGCGCGCCGTCCCAGTACCAAGACGAGAGATGCGGCGTTTTGGCTTAACACGCAGGAATTTAGGACGTGGCCCTGGCCTTAATTTCGGGCCCGGTGCCAAGTGAAGGCAAGTGAAGACCAGAGCTGCAAAAGACAGACAAGGGTCTCTTGCTGAGGCCTCATCAGCTTTGCTGCAACAGCCTCGTTTTCATGTTCGGGCGCAGCGCATGAGCAGGTTTGGAATGTTAAATGCTATGACACTATGGCTTGCTGCGGCGAAGGCTGCGCTTCTGACTGCAATGAACTTATCGAGCTTGTGCAAGTATATACATAAGGCAGAAAGGCAAACTCAAGGCCGACTCGGGCTGCTTGCGATCTTCTATGGCATTCTATGGGCGAGGGTGTAAGGAGACCTGGCTCGGCACGTTGATTCCCTGCAACTAGGTATCCTATAGTCGTACTTCATCACACCTGAAATGACACCATCGAATTCTAGCTTTATACCAGAACTGTATGCAACATGCACCTCAGAAGAGCGATCCACGGCCGACTTCTCTTGGCGTCGGAGGTCGCCAGCCTGGATCTGACTCCCGCAGGCCGCGGGCCAGGCTTGACTACAAGGATCGGAAGGTGGAGCGCGGTTTAGGGTTTCGGGTTGACATGGTTTATATAGGTTTTAGGCTTTACTTGCACCGAGTTTAAGGGGAAGCGCTCTCCACCCAAAGGAATGTGCAAGGGCATGCTTAACTGATGTATGTGTCACGACATGTCTGGACGTCTCGTGTCCATGTGGCAAGCCGCCGCCCCCATGCTTGCTACTTGACACAGCTCAGCCACGCACGCATCAAAACGATGTGGCTAGATTGTTGACATTGTAGTAGCCTACAGTTGAACCTCCTATCTCCTCACTTCATCCCTCTCTGATTCATAGGCCTGCCGCTGCTTCTCCAACGTGCGCAAGCGGTCTTCCTCCTGAACCTCTGCTCGGGGTGTGCTGATTTGCTTTCGAAACCTCTACAGCAATCACGCAGGCTGCTGCAAATTCGATCGTTGCAAGCACAAGCTGCTTTGCTCCGACCCTGTCCAAGCCAGGAAACGAGGAAGTCCGGCCACTTGTCTATGCGCTCGTGGTCTTCAGCAGCACCGGTGCTGTCCTTTGCACTTCCGACCGCTGGGATTGCGAGTTGTGTACTTCACTCTGCTCATTGTCGTCCCTTTCTTCCTTCCTGAATGCGCACGTAGCCCCTACTAAGGGTTGCCCGAAGGCACTAGGGTGCTGATTATGGGAATTACAGATTAAGGGCGCCGTCGGCCCCTAACTAGTCCCAACCGTTTAGCGTTGGGATCGACTCTCCGTGCCAGGGTTCCACACGTGGGCCATGGAGTTCTGAATGCAAGGATTGTGTTGCACCCCCCTTATGTTGTCGTACAATGTTGCAGCGCATACATACTCCACCACCAGTAAACCCATAACTCGATCTCTCTCTCTCTCTCTCGCACTTGCTCTTGCTCTTTCTTTCCGCTTTTTCCTAACTCATGATTGGTTGATGCAATTAGGGCTTCTCTCTCGCTCTAGGTCTCTCTTCTTCTACTGCTGGGCTTGAAAGAAGCCTCCCCCCCCTCCCCCATGGCTCTCTCTTCTTCTTCCTCTTCCTCTTCTTCTTCTTCTTCTCATGCGCACTTGGCTCTCTCTCTCTCTCTCCCCTGGCTCTTGTGTCCCTCTCATCGATTCCCTCCGCCTCCACACCGCGGCTTTTTCTCCCAGGCCCAAGGTTCGATGTGCTTTACGGCATGGCCCGCCTTGACCAGCTCCTCCGCAATGACCTCTGGGGTGGGAACGGGTTTACCCTTCTGGGGGCTCCGAGTGCTCAAGATGGCAATGGAGTCATGTCCTTGCGCGCGCATCAGGGCATAAAATACCCGAAGAAGGAAGACCGAATTCAACCCTCAACCTGGGATGTTCCCCCTTTGTACTAACAGTCCGTCACATAGGGATTATCATCGGGTGTGCTGTAATCCCTACTAAGGAGTGTCAATATAAGAGGGGAACATCCCAACCCCGGCCTGTCGGCTGTCATGCTTCCAGTTCGGGTCGAAGCCCAAGAAGCCTTAAGGGCGAACACGTCGAGTCACCAATGCCCAAGAATAATCTCTTAGTCATAGTCTATAGGCCACAACACCGCAGTCCAACAGAAGGAAGAAGTTTTGAAGGCTCGGAGCTCTTTCCTCCAAGGCTTCCATGCAGTCTTTTTGCAGAATGATACCAAACCCGCAGTGGCCGGTAAACTTGAAACAGAAAGTGCATGAACATGGCCCCATGAACATACTGTTGAGTACTGATTCGTCAAGTGGCTCTATCTGCGCTGCGATTGCAGGCCGTTTGTCGGGATACCCACTCCACCCCACGTGCCGTGCCTGAGGCCCCTGCTGCTGGCACCAGCCAAAAGAGTCTCCTAAAACAACGTACAGCCGCCTAGGAATCTGGAGGCTCGGAGGCTCTGGAGGGAGCTGTGTTTTGTCAGTCCTTTTGCCGTTTTGAAGGATGCCGGTTTGTTCAAAAAAGCCTTTGGCACCTGTCGCTTCGGTCGAGAGGCACGTCTTGCCGCGCTTGGCATGCCAGACCAGCTCGATCAGAGCATGTTGCGCCTGAGGCGTGGGGGACTCCCTGAGCCATGGGTTTTGTGTTCAGGGTTTTAGGGTTGAGGGTTTAGGGTGGCCGCGACATCCGGTCACTGTCCACACCTTATAAGACCTGTGGCTTGGGGTCGCTCAAGCCTCCAATCCTTAACCTTTCGCCCACTCTCTTCCCTCCAGCCTTTCAATTGGTAGGGATTCTATGTGGAAATTTTATCACCTCGCATAAGATTAGGAGGGTCTACTGCGGTTTATTGCCCCCCACCTAGCTGGTTGATCTCACCTGGCCACCCTCAAACATGCTCTCCCCGCCCCACCCCCTTTATAGTGAGGCAGCTTTAAGGAGCCTCCAAGCCCATCAGTTCGCAAGTCAAACACAAAAAGCCCTGCCCGGCTGCCGGCCCACTACATACCTGCGACCCAAAACCCCGAGATACCCCGAGGTTAAGGGAATTTAGCGGCAGTTTTTGCCTGCCTCATCAGTCTTCACGTGCTTCAGGATGCCATAGGCAGACTCTCGCCCCAGTGCAACCTCAGTCAGACACATATCCACGGCCACCTAATCGATGTTGTGGTGAGAAGCCCTGCATGAATCCGCAGCTCAAGGGGCTTGCGGGTTCGTATTTGGGTGAGGGCGTCGAGCGCTTGCAGGCCAGGTGGCATGCTTGTATGCGATGCCCCGGACGCGGCAGCTCGATTTCAGCGCGCGGACGGTGAAATGCGGGCAGGGCGAATGAACCTTTGACCCGGTGCTAGTGGGAAGGCGGGGTCTGGAAAAAGGCCCTGCAATGCACAGCCTTGAGACTCACTGTCAAGGCTGTTGCAATCGCCCAACAGCACATGCTACCAGTGGAGCCGGAACTGAGCTTCGGAGCAACCCCCCCTTGCCCGAACTTCTCAAAGCTTGAAGGAAGAAGGCCTCTCCACGATGGTCACTGGCTCGGAAATCGTAGAGGACCTCGGCGCCCAAGGAGTTGCAGGAGCCTTGTTCCCTCAGTCTATCCATTCCGCCACGGTTTTGCCCCCTTCGTACACACGTTTGGATCTACACCTCTCGGCGAATCGCGGTACAAGTGCATGTATCTCTGGGAATTTCAATGTCTCAACCCATGGATCGCATGTCTTCGTTCTTGGTTTGTTGTGGAAACACACCGCCTTGTTACCCGTTAACATCCACTTATCAAGCAACCTCCCATCGTCATGCCCGGTCTTTCCTATCGGTTCCTCCTCGTTGTCAATAAAGAAAAACACACGTATATTAAAGGTCCCCCAAATTCTTAACCTGGGCTCAGCTTGGAAACGGGTGATACACATGCCAGCAAATGCAATTTCAGGCCGTCTCAGGCAAGAAGCTTTGATGGAGCTCACCTGCAACAGCTCATAGAAGCCTCTCTCACTCATCTGCCCATGGCCCAGTGAGTAGCAAGTGACCTGCCAGGAGGACGAAGAACCACAAAGGGAAAGCATAAACCAACTTTCAATCTATGAGGCCTGTAAAGTACGCTTAGAAGAGAGCAAAGACCCTCAAGAAAAAAACCGAGCAGAGAACCCATAAACGAGCTTTCCGTATGCTTGTCGCGGCTTACAACTGGAATCTTTCACGGCCGAGAGAAAAGGTCGAGAACGGGCCGTGTTACTGCGTGCTTTTGGGGCTAGAACAACCACTCATGGACAAAATTTATGAATATTATTAAAAATTATTCATATTACGAACATTATAATATTATCAACGGTATCAGTAGTGTTAATGTTATAAAAAAAACATCAGAGCCCTCCAGAAGCCAACATTGGACAACCACCAGACCAGATCCCGAGGGCCTTCTCCATGGTCTCGAGCGAGAGGTTCTCACGCGCGAAGCTCGACTGCATGAGGTCGCCTGGCTGTCTCAGTGTCGCAGTTCATGTTCGCAGCCGTTTCGGGACGTTTAGGAAAGGAAAGGAAACAACGTTTAACCATCGCCCCCCATTGGACTGAGAAGGCCTTTCCCGTGCCATCTCTCCGCATCGTCGCGCTTCATCTGCTGCTCGTACTCTTCGAACTGCTGCGCTAGAAGGAAGGTCTTGTCATCCCCCACTGCGTTCCTGGTTGGAGAAGCAGTGAACATGTGTACTACGGAGCCGAGTTGCTTGTTTGGATCGAGACAGCCCAGAACTCTGCTGGCACACAAAGGGAAAAATGTGCGGGCTGAGAATCTCTTCCTCCTCAATTTGTGCAGCAAGAGCTGCATCCATGTCTGCCCCATGCACATCGCCTTGGGTGCAAGCTGCCATCCATCGCAGCACAAGTACATACACTAGACCCAGGAGTAACCTAGGAATAAAAGGGCACCCTTTTTGGTTTCAAGGGCCTTATAATATAAGGGAACCCAAACACTAAAAGAAGGGAACAAGGGACTACTCTGGGTCCTAGTACAAGTACCCCTGGAATTTGAGTCGAGCCGAGAAGGCGAGCCTGAGGGCTCGATGCCAAGTACGGGCCCCTTGAACAAGCACACGCATCTCCAGGGCAGAAGGCCCAAAAATGCGCGTCATACGGCTCACCCAGCCCCTGAAGCCCTTTTAGGGAATCCCTAAACTTCGGCTACTTGGGTAAAAATTCCCTAAACCCTATAAAACCTAAACCTAAACCCTAACGTTCTACGCCGGGGTGCAGCAGCCAATGGCGTCAAAGGGCGGCGAGCCCTCATCTTCAAACTGCAGCTTCAAGGCCAGCGACTCATCCTTCGGGGGCTTACGACTCGAGGTCTGGGCCGGAAATGAAGTTTGCTCCGCAGCTGCTCGGCCATTGCTCGGCCATTGCTCGGCTTTGCTCGGCTTTGCTCGGCCTTGCTCGGCCTTGCTCGGCTTTCTGGCATTCTACGAGAGACCCGGCATTTTTCAAGATTTTGTGTTCAAACTGCTTGTGAGACCAGCGGTTGGGGCGACGTCTGGCGCTTTTGGGCAAAACTTTGCGTTGTTGTGTAAATCTGGTGTTTTTGGGCGAAATCTGGCGTTCTTGCCTTCGAAGCCCTATTTGCTACTGGCTCCAAGAACCCAGCCGTCGGCAAAGTCCTAGCTGGTCCACGCCCACCACTTGCTTCCCACACTGCAATACCGGAAGCCTTAAACCCCAAAGCCCAAAGCCTAAGTCAGTCCTAAATCCTAAATCCTAAGCCCCTCATGAAGTAACACGTCAGAGGGTGCGTGTTTCGTCTTCTGTTCTGCTGCCGCCGGTTTGAGACTTCTGGCGATTGATTTTGTGTCGAAAGGCCAACTCCAAGGTAGAAGGTATTGTTTACGCTTGAGTTGTCAGCTCTGCTGCTATGGCTTCGCAATGAGCTTATGGTTTCGGTGTGTAGCCGCTCCTTCGGACATGTGCTTCGGCCCTCGCTTCGGCCCTCGCTTATGCCTCCGCTCTCATGAAAGTGGATGACTGCGCCGGACATTCGCGGAAACAATGATACTCCAGGGCAGGTCCAGGATATGGTGCGTGTTGTGCCTGAGCACGTCTGGCGCCAACGCGGCGGAGACCCAAGAAGCCCTAGTAGATATGGTATTGAGGATGACGGGTGGTTGGTGGATAAGTATCATTCATACAGATATACATATACATACATATATATATATACACATGTACAAAAAATATGTGTAATTGTGGACATTGACGTCCAAAGGCATAGGGTGTTGGTTTCAGAGAGTGGAGCTTTTAGCGCGTGCGCTGTCTTTCGTAGTCTTCGCGAATGCCCAGCTTGCAGCTGCTTTGACGTGCTTGAGATATGCGCGCATCTACCCGGGAAAGAATTGTAAACTGCCTGCTGCAAGCACAAACTTCAGAGAAATTGCACTGCCCGACTACGCGTCGCATGGAAACCTATGCTTTCTAGTGCCAGGCCTCTGCTGTAGACGGCCCTCGCTTGGCCCAGCGCGTGCTGCGGAGCACGGCGCTTGATGAGCTAGAGGAGGGCACGTCCTCGCCAAGTAACGTTGAGGTTTGGAATGCCAGTATATATTTGTATATGGATGTGACGGGGTCTCAAGGTTTGTCTTCGAAGAAGTTACTGTCTGGTTGAGAACTTCGGACTGTCGGCCAGCAATCGGCAGAACATGATCGCATCGATATGCCGCACCGCAAAAGAATCTCTACCAAAATGCCTGCGAGCCTGCGTGGTAGAATCAGAGTCTATCCATCTATCTCTGTGTATATGCATACACCACTTGATTTGCGCTTTGCATTTGTCTGCCGCGCCGCCTCGAGCTCGCTCTGCATAGGCATGGGCTCCTGGCGCAGACAAAATTCACAAGTGAGAAAGTGTTCGCTTTGCTGCAGAACACGGGCTCGGCAACAATTTGAACCATCAACGTGAAGATGTCGTACGCTGTGCCGGAGACTTGCAGGAGGGGGCTCCCCCAAACCATGCGCCCACAACAGCCGCTGATTCATGGTTGGCACCAAATCTTGGTGAGACTCGGTGTCACCAGATTACTGCAATGTCTCCCAGCACACCGGCACGAACAACGAAACACGAAAGTTGCTACATTCTCCGCAGAGTCTCCTGTGGTAGAGTGATAGAACTGCGTTGAACCACACGCGCCCCACCCCAAACTCTGTTACGGCCTCGGCGCTGCCCATCATCAGATCGAGCCCACCAGCACCAGCAAGGAGCAGCAATTCGGCAGCCTGGCAAACAGATAGTCGAAGATTGGGCTTGCCAAAAAAGATAAAATGGAAAATTTTGTTAGGTGGTGGCATTTGCTGTTTATATACTATAGGGTTTAGGTCAGACTTCTTTTTCCCAATGCCGTTGACTTGAATGTACTTGCAGGGGTTGCAATGCTTGGTGCGGAAAGGATACGGGGACGCTCTTCAGCCAGGGTGAAGGTACATACTGCAAGATGTACGAGTACATAGCCAAACAGCTACCATGACCTCACTAACCTGCAAGAAAGAAGAGATAAACTTTAACACATGCTCATGAAACGCAAACATCTCACGAGGAAGGCCGAAAAAAAGGCAACCACATCGACTCGCCACCTGCTCTGCATCGAAGCCCGCAGCCTGGCAGTGACACAGCACCGAGCCCCTACTTACAGCAAGGCTCACGTCTCCTGTCTGTTTCCGTGCCATGTTGGGGGTTTACGAAAATATGGGAGCCCTAATACCGACCCCCAAATAGTAGGACCCCCTCGCCCCCCCCCCCATAAGGTACCCCTCATATCGCAAACCCCCATGTGAGTCACATGCACTGGACACGGAAGTGTTCATCAGGGCTGTAGGCTCTGGCATGGCACTCAGCGTGCTTGCCTGCAGTGCGTTGCGAGAGGCGCCCTCTTCGAAGCCTAGCCTCAGCCATGTCGGATCATGTGTGGCCTTCCAAAGCCCAAACCCCTAAACTCCATGAAAGCCCTGCAAAAGGTGCTGCTGCGAACGGCGGGGCGGTATGTTCACGATCAGCGCCACCCTCCCTAACTTGCCGTGGTGGTACTTTAACACAAGTCAGATAGACTCTACTAGAAGACCTCACCAACGACTCATACATTGCTGAGTTTGAACCTGGCACCTTCAACCTGGAACCTCCTTCTAATTCTCATGCCCTTGCTATGCTGCGAGTCGCTGCAGCAACTGCTCCAGAGCTAAACTGCGCTGGGGGTCGCCTTGGTTCAGGGCAGGGCGTGGATGTAGGGTGAACCCAGAATCCCAGGGGAATTTAAACTTTATTGTCCACAGCATATGGCATATAGGGCTGGCGCCTGGATGCTGTATTTTCGGGCAGCCAACTTGTGAGCACGATTGAGAATACCTTCTTTTGCCGGTGTTCAGACTCGACCTCGATCTCAACCCCCCCCGCCCCCCACACACCGAAAAAAACAACTAACAATAATACGGACTGTTTTCTTTTGAAATGTTATAGTCTTAAAATTTATAATCGTAGCAATAGTACACAGAAGACTAAGAAGAGAAGGCTACTCGAGCCTGCGTCTTAACACGTGGAGTAATGGCATCAAGACGCTCCACAGCGCCTGGCTCACCGTGTCGCTGCCCAGCTGATGCGTAGACTGCCTCGCACCCGCAATCCAAAAAAAACCCGAACTCCAACCTTAGGGTTTGAGGGTTACGGTTACGGTTTCCTAAACCCTTTCTTTCGTCCCTAAGCCCTATACCCTACACCCGAAACCCTTGACCCCACGAGCTCTACCAGAAACCCTAAACCCTGAACCCGTCAAAGCTACAGCTTCGCCAGCTCCGCGGAACGACGCGGGTCTTCAGGATCGGTGAGGGTCTGCCATTGCCTGAGGTAGGATTCGGGCCGGAAAGCTTGCGGGGTGAGGTTTAATCGCTCACACTCGGGCACGCCAGGCGAGGCACACTCTATCCCATACTTGGGTTTAGGGTTTAGGGTGAATTTATTTGGCTACCTGCCTAGCTAATCAAAGTCGCACTGCAGGGGAACATCACACGTAAGTACCATGGGACAGAATTGGCTGTTCCTTTCTGGTTCTGCTTGGGAGCCCAGATCTCACCCACTAGCTGCCAGTTCAGGTAAGGGTTTAGGGGTTGTTGGGTTTAGGGTTTAGGGTTTAGGGTTTAGGGTTTAGGGTTTAGGGTTTAGGGTTTAGGGTTTAGGGTTTAGGGTTTAGGGTTTAGGGTTTAGGGTTTACGGTTTAGGGTTTAGGGGCCTCTGGGGTTGTGACGACAAGTCGTCGGAGGTGCCCCTCCATGCCCCTAACTAGACTCTGTCCAGCCCAAGTCGATTTTCGAACCATGGCTCTGAGCCTTCCGACCCCCAAACCGCACGTCGCACTGTGAATGGGAGGACAAGGCCACTTCTTCATCTGCATGTGGGTCGGGTAGAAGAAGATCGGCACGGTGATGCGCCCGCCCTGGACGACAAGCAGGCCCATTCTCTACCCGAAGCCTCTAAAATACAGCGTCTCAGAAAACAGGCGCTTCACCCCAAGCTCCTATGCACGGGGCTCCCTCAACAAAGCACTTGAAGCGAAATAAGCTCTTCTTGCTCTTGTGCACTCAACCCTTCCCAGACCACTCCCCCCAAAGCTACCTTCAACAGAGTTTCGAGGGCCTTACGCCGGCAGGCAGTGAAAGGGGCATGATTGAGGAGAGCCCTAAACCCTAAACCCTAAACCCTAACCCTAAACCCTAAACTCCTCCCGGCCTTGATCTCGGGCATCTTCGGTACGCCATGCCGCTGGGTGCCGAAGATGACCAGGTCGCCTTAAGGAGCTTCCATGCAGAGTTTAGGGTTTAGGGTATAGGGTATAGGGCTTAGGGTTTAGGATTTCGGGGGGCCTTTATGGAGTTTATGAATGCAGCTTCAGAGTACGGCTGGCCAGACCACTGACCTGCTGCTCAAAGCTGATTTGTACAGGGTTTTCTGGGTCGTGCTGCTCTTGGGTATTCTGCGATTCGGTGCTTTAAAACGCGGGCCGGCGACAGTGAAGCCGCTTGCGAGCTGGGGAACTGCATGCCGTTCGCATCAGGGTTTGGGGTGGCAGACGATGTCCATGCCAACAACCATGTCTACAAAGCCAACTTCCATGTGCACAAACCGGAGGTCAAAATGTCAAAGTCGCAGTCTTGAAGCAGAAGCGGCGTCTTGTCGATCCTTGGCCGCGAGAGGTGGCAGGGTTTCTGATGTCAACGCTTGGTAGCATGGCAGGCCCATCTTGGACTTTACAGAATACTCTTGGCAAAGAGCAGCTTATGGGGCCCGGAAGCCCAGTAGCTATAGAGCTTCGCCGGAAGCTTGAGCTGGCTAGGTGTTCTCACCTGCTGGGCCGGGAATCGTCAGAATGCGCTCGTGGCCGAAGGAGAAGAGCGCAGTCCAGCAGTCATGGCCTCACAGGGGGCTGTGATATGGTGTGATGCACTTGCTGAAAACTGAATCCTATGCTCCTACAAAATCTCAAGCCGTCCAAACCTTCGTGCTCTGGTTTGATTTGGGTTCAAATTCCCCGTTAAACCGCAACGGCTTGGAGCAGCCCAGCCATCAATGCACCAGGGCATGTGTAATTAGGCCACGCACTCCAATAAGCACCTGCTTGAATCCTGCTTGAAAAGGGGCGAAAGTCTACTCCCGTCCCTAATCGCGGTGTCGACGACCGTCGAATGAACCGCCCCTTGCCTAAAAGAGTGACACTGTGTGCATTTCCATAACGCGGGCCACACGGCGAACCCTTCTGTTAAAAACGGGCTGTGGAAAACACTCGCATAAGCTCAACAAATCCCAGCAATGCCAGGCAGCGGTGGCTGCCCAGAACGGAGTCACCGTCCTCGATGGTCCGAAGACGGAGGAGTTTTATCGGGGGGTAGACAAGGCTCGTGCCACCTGCTCAGCTCTCCCACGGAACTCGAGGGATCACGTGAGACCATTATCTCGCCCATGCCCTGTTTAGGGACTTTAGGGCTTCCTAACCTAGGTTGCCGCTGGGCGCGAATTCCCTTCGTGATGGAGATGAAGTCTGCAGCTTGGCGTCGGGATACCAGTTCAGGGCGATGCCCGACGTCCGCTCCGCGAGACCATACCTTCACTTCGGCTTCACAGGCTGGGCCCATCCCTTCGCAGAGTGCGGCTCGGCACTGTTACTGGGCTGCTATCTCCACGATGAGATATGAAAAACATTTTTTGTCAGAGGCCATCTCTCATCTACTTGCATTGTTTTTCCCCTACTCCGTGCTACACTGAACCCTACGAGCCCATAAATAATTCACCCTTTGAGCGCCTTGAAATCTACAACTCCAGAGATTCGGTTGGTGCACTCGGAGAAAAACTTCTGAAGCATCTTGTCGAAGGCCGGTGATGAGCCTCTGCTTTGCACCCGGTATCGAAAGCAGTGTGTCTATAGATGTCTACCAGGACTCATGGGCCTGCCAATTCTGCGTCTTGGGGTCTGGGGGCTGGTGAGTTTTGGCATCTCTGAGAGTCTGAAGCTTTACGTCAGGGATTGATGGAGTGTGCGGTTTGCATGTTGGGCCATTTTTTGGGGGCCTTGGTGGGGCGCGAGATTCCGCGTGCGAGCTTCCACTGCGCGTATGAGATGCTCCCCTCCACTCATCCCCGACTCTTCGCACTCAGAGCCTGTTCATAGAAGCCCAGTCCGAACACTTCTATAGATATTACTGTAGACGCAAGATTCTCCTGCTCAGATGTCTCGGATGCCCGCCTTTGGTGTACTTGGCACTCTGGTTGCCCTGCAGCTTCATCTTGCCCTCCTTGTGTGTCATACTGAGATACTCCAGGATGTGAGATGGGGTACCTAGCAAAGGATGCGCCAGGTCACCCTCTGTTTAGGGTTTTTTTTTTAGGGTTTAGGGTTTGGGGTTTGGGGTTTAGGAGTTAGGATTTAGGGTTTAGGATATCATGTTTATCTTAACCCACCCACCCCCCGGCCCCACTCCATCACCGGCGACTGCACGACACGGCAGGCTAGAGCCCCTCATGCTAGTTGTGGTACTGAGGAAACTAGCTTTCCTCGTAGGGTTCCTTGGGAACAACTGGAACTGGCCTAACTCCCCTATTAGTCGCACCAGGGTTGTCAACCATCTTTGTGCCCCTGAGAACTGATCGACGGCTCCTTGTCGTACTTGACGTGGGAGGCACCAGTCGAGAAGTCTCGTGTGCGGGCTGCGTTCGACTTCCACTCCTCTTGCGTTGCAGGGCATAATTATACGAACGAGATTTACTCCTCGCCCTATTCCCCTTGCAGCTTCCTCTCACATGACGCCTGTAGACCCTCCGAGTGAACAACACCGGGTTGGATGGCCCAGCGAACTTTGACCAGAAAGCCTTCACCCATGAGCGGCATAGCCCACGTAGCATCTTATCTATCTACCTCTATACGCATTGTCTCCGTGTTGTTCAGGAGCTCGTCATAGACGTCAGGATCCTTAGCTGGGAGCCCCAATGAAAACCCACAAAATTCGCGTCAGCAGACCTTTAAAAAAGGAAATGAGGATTTCCGAAAGTAGGGGTACCCCCTGAAATACCCCCCAAAATACTGTAGAATCCATTTAAAAGGGTACCCCCTATTTTCGGAAAACCCCCCAAAATACTGTAGAATCCTTTTGAAAGGAACCTAAAAAGGTTTTTTTTTTACCTACTTTCGGAAAACCCCTAAAATCTGTTTTCTAGAATCCTTTTAAAGGAACCCCAAAAAGGGTACCCCCTGTTTTCGAAAAACCCCTATAAAGAATCTCTCCATACTTTCCCAGAGGCGCCACATGGTACTTCCGTCTAACCTCGATGTCCCGCCACCAGGCGGCCGTCGTCACCTCCGAGTTCCTTCGGTTTAGGGTTTTTAGGGTTTTTAGGGTTTATAGGGTTTAGGGTTTAGGGTTTTTTTCAACCCTCCACTCCTTTTCGGGCGAGCTTACTGCTAGGGAGGGTTTAGGGTTTAGGGTTCAAAAGGCTTTTGGGTTGGATACGTGTACAGAAACTTGCCGCGTTGAAAGGGTGGAGGATGGATGATGGGGAGTTTGAGGTTGAGAGGTACAGGATTTGAGGCCTAGTCCTTAGAATTCCTTAGAGGCAAAACGCCGGTGTTTCTCTTTTTGTTTTGCACGAGACCACTTCCTGTTGGACGAGAGCTTGGGCAAGCGGCAAAGGCCATTTTACTTGGAGAGAACCCCCAGCCCTACACGTACCTTCGAGAAAATCCGCAACAATCGCCAAACGATGCCTCTACCCCCCCCCCACCCCCCCGCACATCCCTTCCTGGCCTCCCTCCCTCGAAATCCCAATCCCTAATCCCCCATCTTCTCTGGACATTGACCTCAAAAATTGTTCTGCCATGTCGTGCCGGAGGTCTCAGTGAGTGTGGCTTCACTCGTCGCCGTCTTCGACCCCAGCTCCTTGGACATGTACCTGGGCTTGGGAGCCTAGAACTTGTTGGTTTACACTTGGGTTTAGGTCTACGAATTGTCAGTTCCCAATTGTATGCCTGCACTTCCCACTGCAGCATCTTACTTGTCATGCATGGTCGCTCGTTCCACTTTCGGTTTTGGGCGCTAAATGCGGCACATGGGGAAGCAAGCGTCCGTCAGATCGACATGCCAGAAGCATGGTTCTTGCAAAGGTACGGCTTTCGGTGTGTACCGCCTGTAAACTCTTGCCATATTGTCGCAGTTCCCTTCTTGGCTGCCTGATTCTCCGCATTATCGCTCGCAAACCTCTCAACTTCTCTTGCCTGGGGGCTCGTGAACACCCCACGGGCGGGGAATCTCCCGCTCGTCCTTCTGCCACCACTTGGCGACGAACTGCTCCGACCGGCCTAGCAACCTTCGCAGAAACTGGGGCTCTGCTTGGTCAGGAAACCTTTTGTAAGCCGAGGCAGGTAGAGGTCATAATTGAATCTACCTTCAGCGTGGCTCTGGGAATGTTTGTGCCGCGCTCATCACGTGCGAGCACCAATAGACCCTGAATTCCCTCGATCACTGGTACACCTAAGCCTAGGTTAAGGTTCCTCCTTGTGCGTTATGCGTCAGCTGCCACTCTCACAACCTGTCCAAACAACTGACGAGTCAACACAAGTTCACGAGAAGCTACGTGGTCTCGACATCCACTGCTCATGACTGCCGCCAACACCCTAAACCCAAAACGTGCCAGGGCACCTTGCGATTTCGGCTTTCGTCTTGCCTTCCTCAGCTGTCGCACATCGACGGATCTCGACGGCACCCTGAAATTCGGAACAGCGCGAAAACGCCTACAAAACATCTGCAATGTGCACTGCTCAGCTTCTTTGCGGAAGTGGATGCTTCGAAGCCGGTCCTGGCACAAGGGGGTCATGGGAATGCACTTACCTCCTGCCTCCTGCACTCAAACTCGGATGCTTTCGGACCCTAATTACCGCGTTCGCGAACCCAAACACTGTATGATAACGGCCTATACCCTCATGGGCCTTTCTTGGAGTCACCGAAGGCACGTCCCGCATTGAAGCATCTTGTGCAGCCGATCCTGGTAGGTCTTATGGCCCTCCGAGGAGTTCGACTCAAAGTGCCCTTGCCTTAGCTTAAATAAAGAAGGCCTGTAGTCTGCAGAGATCGGTATGTGTGTGGCCATGGTCACAAGACCGTAGTAACCATATTGGCTACGCATAAGAAGTCGAGGTGCAGCTGAAAGTGGCTCTCATCAAACTCCGTGATCTGCTCACCTGCCAACTGTTGCGGCGACCGGCAGCTTCAGCAAGTATTTGGAAAATGTGTGAATGAAAATGGGATATGAACTCCAAGTAGACATAGACAGTACGCACTTAGATTCCTGATGCGCGTCCGCGCACTTGTGCCTTTGGAAACCTCCCCATCGCCCAAATCAACGACCCTGCACATACAGCTAAAGCTCTGCCTTTGTTGGCAAACTCGATCCAGCGGTAGATCTTTGTAGCCGAGCTGGTAGCGGCCCTTGTTGGACGAATCGCTTGCGAGCACAGACACAAACGTTTGCGCAAGATGCTCCAGCTTCATTCTTCAGGCCCGTTTAGAGCCCTCGGGGCTATAATTGCTGTCGCTCCGGCACTTGCCTCGGCCTACTTTGAAAGCCCGAGGCCTCTGGTTTTGGTTGGCGCCGCTCTTGCATCTCACTCAACGTTGCCCCATGCGCGACCTACTCAGCTTGCGCAGGCGCATGTCTTCTGTGCCTATACTCCCATTAGAACCTGAATAAAAATAATATGTTTAATGTCCTCTCGCGTATTATATAAACAAAAACAAATAATAATTCCAGAGGGGGATATAGATGCAGCCTCGTGTCGGCTGGGACTGTCCATTCGGAACTGGCACAGCACGAGCCACGTCTGAAAGCTTCTGCAGCGGCATGGCGGCGTTGGCTAATTATAGGTAGCTAGATATTGAGTGATCCTACACAGGCGCACAGGTCGTGCATGCTATAGTATGTGCATGCATGTGTATACACACGTATATGTGTATATATATATATATACATATACACATACATGTATACTTATTTTTGTTTTAATTCATGATAATGTATACATCTATATATCTGCGAGGGTATGACGGTTGGGCACTTTCTTTTGTTGCAGACTTTGCATTCCCCGGCGATCTAGCACAAACAGCTGCAGGCAAGTTCACGCCTGCTTCTGCTTGGTTTTTGGCCCCTTCGTGAAAATCTCTATGGCCCTGTTACAAGCCAAGCATCGATACTCAGGGTAGACAGAAGTGACGAGCGGCACCCCACCCGTAGTAAGCTGATAGATGCCACGTCCGTGCATCCCTTCACGACCAAATCTTTCGTACCCTGCACCCCCTCCCCTCCCTCCCTGGCCAGCATATCTACCCTTGTAGCTCGCCATTGCCAGCCGCAGGGCCTGGAAAGCCACTCGAATCTACGAGCTCACGCATTGTTCCAGCAGTTTCCCTTGTGAAAGTGTGTCTGCCACCTACCTAGCCGCTACCTAGCCATCGCACTTTCTGGAGGCTTTGGCGTGTGACTTGATGCTCATGTCCTTTATTTTCATCTGAGGTAACGCGCGCGCTTTCAGTGCTGGTTGATACCGGCAGGGCTTACAAGGCCTCATTTTGCATCAATTAAGGCTTTGGAACAGAAAGGCATGAACAAGGCAAGCCTACCTCAAACAAGCTCAGTTGGGGTCTCTTACCTCTTGCCCTAGCTGGCTGGCATTTAGGAGTGTGACGAGATTCGAGCTAGAGGTCAGGAATCAAACTCCAGCCACTTCGCCGAAGCCACAAAAACCACAAACAAACATCGCCTTCCTTCCTGCTGAGGGGAGTTGCTCTTCTACATTGACGCGACCGGATCATAGCGTAACCCTTCCCCCAAAAAAGCCCACATGCTCTACTCGAACCAGCTACTGTAGCACGTCCCACCGTCGAGGTACGAGTGCCCAACAATCTGAGACATTGATCATCCACCATTTCAAGGGAGCCTGCTTCAGGGTGTACTCAATCCGCCGTGTCCTGGGGCGGTTCTGTAATGAGCACTGTGCAAGAGCAGATGCAACCGCCACCCACATCATACAAGGATGCCATCTGACTGGAGGTCCAAAAAGTGCCCTCAAAAAAAACAGCGCCGAGAGAAAGAGTCCTCATATCTGACTAAGCTGACCTTGGCCCCAGAAACAAAACTCCAAACACCCGCCCGTCCTCCCAAACCGCTCGGCTGTTTGATTGATCCAGTCTGGCGGTCGGCGCCTGCGCGTGCCGGAAATGCACTGGGGGAAGGCAGGGGAGGGGGGGGGGGGCGACCTCCCAGACTATCTGATGCCCCCTCGGTATAGAAAGCCGCGAACCAGCCGCTAACCCTAATCTTGCATTACTCTAAATTGCTGCTAAGCTCCAGTACCGAATCTACACCTGCAACCCAACTCACAAGCCATGTTTTCTTGTCTCCTTCTGCGCAAGATCTCTTTTCCTTCCTTCCGCAGCACGTAACCCCCCGAAGGAGGTCGCCCGGATCTCTCTCTCTCTCTCTCTCTCTCTCTCTCAACGCCAAGGACCGCAAGCGAAAGCCATCTCAAAGGCAACCATCTCAAGACTTGCATCCCCACTGTATGTCACACAAGAAGCCCTCTGAGGTCTTCCTGAAGTTACGGTGGGAAATGCATTGCTTGGTATCATGCAAGACAAGCCCTCACTCAATTGCAATGGGAGGCCTGAGAAGGGCCCAGCATAGGTCTGAAACGAAATGGTTGCAATTGTGCCTGGCTGCCCGCGCTGAGAGGGCACGTTTTTTCTGCCTTAACCCTACACTCCAAACCACACGAGTGGGCCGAAAGCAACGCCGCGCGAGCCTGCAAAACCCTCGCAACTCTCAGACAACTGTCTGCCCTTCCAGTTTCACGGCAAAAGCACAGGCCCGGGCTGGAAAAGGTCGTACGAGGGGCCCTGCCTCGGCAAGCGGTCTACCGGGGCCTGCGGCCCAGGGAAGCATTCCATCTTAAAAAGAGCCTTGAACTCGGAGCCCTTGCTGCTAGTCCCCCTCGATCAGAACCGTAATGGCACTGATATGTTTAATATTCCCTTGAATTTGTGAAGGCAAGAAAACCACATGAGCACTATAGGGAAACCATAGCTTGTGGCCTCGCAGCCTCTTCTTTTAAGCTGCACATGGGATTCACCCGAGCTTCTCTACCGCCAACCTGGACCCTAAACCCTAAGCCCTTTTTAACCCCTGGGCTGAGGCCGGGACGCGCGTATCATCCATACACAGGCAGAAGAAAAGAACAACTGAAGCTCCCCACCAGCACTGGTGACTGCCAAGGAACTACACATTGGACAAGAGCACTGCCAAACCCTAAGCCCTAAACCCTAAACCCTAAGCCCTAAGCCCTAAACCGTGTCTTTTCTGAGGGGTCTACCACTCAGAATCCGTGGCCAGCCGTCGAATGACGCTCTGGATCTGCCCGCGAAGGTGCAGGAGGCTAAGGGCTGTTCACAAGTTTTCATGAAGAGAAAGGGTTTATTGTTCATATACCTTATAATAGGAACTTATAGTAGTATAGGGGAATAGGGGTTCATATACCGTATTAGGAATTATAGTAATATAGGGCAATAGGGGAAATTGGGAGGATGGCTTTGGGGTGTTTGGCTAGGACGGGGTTTGGGGGATTGAGAGGCTTGGGAACTTCGTGAAGCTGAGGGGAGGAATGCACTTTCGGCCTCCACACCCTTGCTAAATCCGAGCAGTGAACCTAGCAGAATATTGGATTTTCAGCATGGCTTCCGGCCGGCCAATGCTGAACTTCAGGAGTCGACTCGAGCACAGACTGGCGACTGCACTGTACCCTATGAGTCCCGGCCCAGAAACCATGAGCTTTGGACCTGCTGAGGTGTGGCGCGCACACGGCCCATGACCTGGCCGTTACACGTCCACCTTCAGCCAAACTCCGAACCACTAAGAAACTCAGGTATTGCGCCGCCCTCAAAAGTATCTAATGCGACATCGCACGCGTTTCATGGGTAACGCACTTAAGTATTGATCGGAATTGCTGATTGTCTTTTGTGCTCACTCTGCCAAAAAGGGCGCTCTCCTTGCGCAAGATTCCAAGAAACGTACGCAAAGCAACATCAACATGCCTAAAACACTTGGCTGTTTCCACGCCAGTGACCCGTCAGGTTTCATGAGCCCAACCGGGTTTCTGATTTCTTAGTCCACGAAATCGTGCCGAACGAAAACTCGACAATCCGGCCGAATTTCTTAAGAAACGCGATCATGTCTAGTAGTGCGCAGAACCTAAGAAACGCGCGCAGCGCGTCGTTCGAAAGTAGCGGTAGGATTTGTCGAGAGCAGGGTCTAGTGAAACTCAAAGATACCAAGGTCAAGCTTCAGGAAAGGTCAGAGAGCAGTGAAAGAATGCCAGCAGGGCCACGCGGTCGAAGAACTGGTACTCCTGTGTGAAAGGCTTGGCAAACCATAAGCTCCAAGCAAGGCTGGCAAGTTAAACCCAGGCAATCTTCCTACCAAGAATGTACTCTGTCTCTTCAACCCACAAGAGCAATGTGCACTATTCCGCCCCCCCCCCCCCCCCCCCATCCCCCTCATTCTTCAAAGCCCCCAGCCCGAAAACCTTCGCCCCTAAACCCTAAACCCTAAACCCTAAGCCCCTCAAAGCATTCTGGGCCCAGGGCCGGATTCAGCTCGGGCTCGCAGCTATAGGCGCCAGTCTGGCCGGGCTCGGTGTGGCCGCCGTAGGACTGGGGAAGGAACTCGGAGGGTTTAGGGTTTAGGGTTTAGGGTTTAGGGTTTAGTTTAGGGTTTAGGGTTTAGGGTACTATTATGGGATTAGATAGCCCAAAACCCTACTTAGTATGGTTTTGGGGTACCTAATTCCATAATAGTACTACAAATGGACCCTCTGGGGGAAAGGCTTGAAGTCAGGGTCTCACGGAACAGGCGGTTTGTGAATCCATGTCGGTTCGGGCTCTGCAGCCAAGGTGTGTGGCGAAGTAATTCGCAAAGTCGGACCCTGAGCATGCGAAATTCGAAACTTGAGAATGAAGCATCTTTCGCCCCAGGCGCCCATTCAGTGTCCAGCACGACCAAGCCACTGTGGTAGGCGCCTTTTCAGGGAAAGTCATCTGACATCTGTGATGCAAGAACTTGTCTTCCAGATGCGTGTACGTGTCTGCAGATGTTCGAGGTTCGGTTCCGCCTGCTGTACGCTGCCACGGCAGGTAGCTATATTCCAAGGCACCGATTGGCTACAACATGAGAAGATGGATCTTCCTGGCTACGCTGTGTCTCATATGAGCCCGGTCCATGCTAGACCACCTCAGGCCAACTTTCATACATGCGTTATCACGACAACTGTTGCTTGGCAGCGGCATTTATATATGTATAAATAATAACTATGACTAGAAATAAATACAAAGAAAATGTACAAGAACACAAAAAATAAACAACAACAAATATATAAAATCTATTGCAACAATAAATACACACACATATATATGTATATATATATACATATCCTAAAAGGTATTTCAAGCCCAGCCTGTGCCAAGAGAGCCCAGGGAGTTCAGAAGCGAGACGCCAGTCACATCGAATGTGTACACCGAAAGTCGCACCTGCAATGATGGCTACGGTGCTGCCGAAAGTCGGGGTTTAGGGTTTAGGGTTTAGGAGGTGGGGGCCAGGGGGGGGGGTCTTCTCCACTCTATTGCCATCTCGTGAAGAGACCTTGAAGCACTTAGCTACCAGCTACCAGTGCCTTCTTGCAAAGTCTCATTTGCCGAACATGTGGGGGGTCGCCAGCTTAGTCAATCGTACCCCCCCATGAACCCTATTGCATGTCAACAAACATGAAGCAGCAAAGCCTTGCCATACCACAGCGCACCAACAAGGACTAAATGAACCCTGAAACCTCTACTGGTCTAACCGTCTAACCTGGCCGATGCTGCCTTGCTGAACGCTGCAACGTCGTACTATAGGGGCCTTAATGATTAGAATAGGGTTTTGGGGGTTATTGTAGTATGTCTATAAAGGGACCATAAGGGAATACTTTTCGTAATTCTTCCGACCCCTATACTCCTTGCGGCTCTCCCGGCCTCGTTCACGTTGTGGGGCAGGTCCGGCTCCGCATAGTCACCAGGCCTCATGCCATGATTCTCATGAAGATCCCCGTAAAGAGGTCCCCTCGGCCCAATTGAGTGATCCGGCTTCTGACGCTTAACTGAACATTTGGGCAGACCCTACACCCATCCCGACTCCCGAAAAGAACCGGCATGATCCTTGAGTTTGCCTCACGGGCTCCCAGAAGCATCGCGGGCCTCACAAGCCCTAAACGAAGCCCTAGAGGCCCCCATAACCTATTCGAGCCATCCTAAGCCGAATTGGTCATGTGCAAGCCCAAAACCTCGACCAAAAACTCGGTAGGTAGGCCTTAACCCTAAACTGGCCCTAAACCCTAAACCATAAACCCGTATCTCCTATCCCCGCAAGAAAACCGCGACGAACCCAAATTGCCGAGTCCGCCGCTTCGCGGTTTGCGCGCCCATGGCGAGATGGCATAGTGCACTTAATTTGTGCTACGAGTGTGTTGAGGTCTGAAGTGTTGCAGGGATGAGGGAGGTGTGAATTTAGAGGCTTCTGAGGTTCTGGGGTTTAGGACGGGCTTTAGCTGAGCATGCGGTATGAGCATGAGGTAGGTTGACTATGAGGTAGGCGAGTCATCAGCACCTTCATCGGCCTTCTCGGCTTTTGGCTGAAAGTCGGCAGGCACAATGCCAAGCGCACTCCGCAGGTGCCAAACTCTACACTCTACACTTGTCCATGCACCAGAACTAAGCAGCTTACCTGTTCACCTGCACAGCCTTTCATCTTTGTCACGTGCGTCTTTTGTAAGGCACCGCAACCAAGCACCCATGTCACCTTGGAGAACATCGGCCCTTCTGTGCTGGAAACCTAGGGTTTAGGGTTTAGGGTTTCCAAGCTTTTTGTTCAACCGGGCGCTGGCCTTGAGACGAGGCCGGGTGCTTGAATCAAGAGCCTCAGAGCTCGTGGAACCCATGCTCCTCCTTGTTCCTGCCCTTGCAGGCTCGACCTGGTGGGAGGATCTTGGAGAAAGTTGGGTTTAGGGTTTAGGGTTTAGGGTTTAGGGTTTAGGGTTTAGGGTTTAGGGTTTAGGGTTTAGGGTTTGCTTGCTGTTGAACCTTCAAGCTTTCTCTGGCTCCCGCACGGCTGGACAGTGCGGGACAAACCGCACTGCGGGGTTTCGGCGACGACTAGGGACCACTTACATGGAGGTCATTCAAAGTGCATCCCGGTTAGACACAGATTCAGCAGGGCAACGGTCTGGATGATGGGAGAGGTAAAAAGCGTGCAGCCATGAAGAAAACCCCACCCCTCGCATCAACTTCCGCCAGTCACTCCGAGCAAACTTCCCAACCGAAGAAGAAACATAGATCCCAATATCCCATGCAACAAAGAGAACTCCTTGGCTGGAATTGCGCAGTTTTGCTCCCTCGGCCTTCCAGATTCTTCCAGGCTTGGCAGAGCAAATATACGACCACTGGACACCCGTTGTAGCGGCTTGGTGGCCCTTGCGGCTGCAAAACGGTACTAACTTGACAGAACGGTATACGCGGGCCGAGTCTTGAAGGATAGCTAGCTGTTCATCAAGTCGCTACTACCGTCTCACACGCAGCCAGCTCCAACACAAAGAAGGCATTGCCAAGTCTACCTGAAGCTACTGTGCATGGCCGACCAGCCAAAGACCGGACTCGAACATCCTTATGGTTGCGCGCTGCATTTCTAGCATGTGGTCATGCACTGGGCCATGCCTCACATCTTCATGGTCACCTTCAACTCGCCACGGTCGTTCAACCCGAGCTTGCGGACTTTGATCTTGCCTCCTCGGATGGCCTTTTCAGGATCCGAAGCAAAGTCGGGAGCGAACTCCGACTTGTGCAGCAAGGCGAAGACTGGATCGCCACCACCCCAGGAGGGCGTCACATTCACGAAGACACCGAAAGTGAAGATACCCACGACCTCGGCATCTAGCCACTCATCAGATGAGACCAAACGAAGGGACTCGGGATCGTGGTTCTCTTCACTCTTCTTGAGCCTTGGAGGTCTTGAGATGTCCCCTGACCTCATCGTCAGGTAGAAGCGGTCGCTGTTCTCGTCGTACCTTACTGTGGGTCAGGAGGGAATGGGGGAATGAGGTACCCTAGGTAATTTTCCCAAAAGGGTCTCTATAGGGGGATATCGGGTACCTCATTCCCTATACTAACCAACAGTAAGGTACTCAAGGATCCGTGCATAGATCTGCTTCCGAGGCCGCACTGGGGACAGCCTTGCGGGGTATCCGTCCTCCATCTCGCCATACTCAAGGATCGCATCCTTTTCGGCGCCAATATCCACATAGGCCAAAGATGGGCCCTGCATCTTCATGACCTTTACCCGGCCGCTGACATTTTGTCCAACTTCGAAGTTGGTGGGCTGCGAAAACTCAAAACTCAGGGCGTTCAGTGTTGCCTGCTCCTCAGCATTGTCGACTTCCACCGCACGCTGACGGAGAGTCAGTTCTCGCGACTGACTGGGCTGCCTCCCGCAGAACACAGGGGATGATTCCAGAACCCTTGGCCAGGCGCACATACTTGCCCCGATGAGCAGCACACAGCCTCGCAAAGCTGCACCCATGTCCCCGGCATGTGCGCGGGTGCGCAAGCAACGTGCCTGCTTGCAGGCCATTGAAGCTGTGGACTCGATAACTCTCCTATGCATTACAAGGAGCAGGAGGGTATTTCCGTCACCCCCAACTATGAATCTATCTTATAGGCTAACTTATGGGCATCAGTGGGCCAGGATCCATGGTAGGTTAAATGCTGCTCGTGGTGTGGTTGCTGAATCTACGCTGCAGACGGTTGGCCTTCAGAACATAGAAACAAGTTGGCAGCTGTGACAAACTTGAAGCATCTTGGATCTTGAGCCAACAGAAAGCTAGCTTAGGATGCCTGTCGCAGAGGAGGCCATCGACCAAAAAAACAGAGCCGCAGAGCTACTACGATACTGTTTGTAGAACATGTGATGCACTGCGGCAACGTACGGCCTTGAAAAGTGGTCCCTTTCTGCCGGATACATAATCAGTAATCAGCTTGCTGCTCTAGTTGGCTTCAGTAAGGGCTCCTGTCATGGTCATCCCTGGCTCGGCCGGTGGGGGTTGGTGTGCTCATCTCCCCCCTCCCGCCCCCCACCTCACCCCCAATTGTGATGCTTCCAAACCCCACTTGCAGTTCGAGTGCATCGGCCCCCCTCAGGAAGCAACTGGCCGTCCACAGCAGAGACACGACAGCTTTGCGATTCGCCTCAGGTGGACGTAGCGCAGCCATGGCTTTCAACGAGAAGTTTAAGGTTAGAGGGTTTAGAGGGTTTAAGGACCTCGCATCCAAGAAGTTCTGCACAGGCCCGCCAGTGACTTTGAATGCAGAGTGCCACACTCTGGAAAGATTGCCGAGTGCTACACGTCATCCACCACTGGAGGTTCCTCCGCTATCTTCGCCACCTGTGTTGGGGCTGGGATTCATCAAGGGCGAGGTCCATTGTGATTGAGACACCCTAAACCCTTAACCCTAAACCCTAAACCCTAAACCCTAAACGGTCGAGGCCACCTCTTCTTCTTAATTACTGGGCGCGCCTCGTCGTGGTCCTCCTCAACCCAGCGGTCCAAGGGCAAACGGCCGCGATGGTCCTGAAAATGTCGAGTAGCCCAGAGGGTCAATTTGTAGTACTATTATGGAATTAAGTACCCCAAAACCCTATTTAGTCTGGTTTTTGGGGGTACCGAATAGCATAATACTACTACAAATGGACCTCTGGGTAGCGAGCTCTGGAAGAGTGCAGGAACTCATGCCATAATCGGCTCTTTCTAGACAATGTAATGTTTTTTGCCATATTTATAGTTGCACCTATTTATCAATGTGCATATACACCGCCACCCCAGCAACTCTCACAGTCTCATGTCCAGAGCAAAGCCCAAACTGGTGTCGAGCCCGCAAACGTCTCACTTCTCATCCAGACTACACCAGAACGAACAGTTTCATGAGCCATCTGTGTAGGAGTGCCAAGATTTGTTCCAAGTGCCTGTTTAGGGTTTAGGGTTTAGGGGTTTAGGGCTTTTTTTTTGCCACCTGCTTAGCTGACCTCTCGGTTTAGGGTTTAGGGGTTCCTGGTGTTCCGACAACTGCAGCTGAAGGTGGGACTCTCATGACCGCTGAGGGGAGCGCACGGGCGCAAGGTGAAGCCTGGATGGCGGGGCTCTTGCCAAAAGGAAACCCTAAACCCTAAACCCTAAACCCTAAACCCTAAACCCCAAACCCCACAGAGGGATGCCAGTCCAAAGAAGCATGGTTGCATCATCGACTGGCTGGTTCTTCGTAGGGAATGAGGGAAATGAGGTACTCTTAATCGCCATATAGATACCCTTTAAGGGCTTGTATAGGGCACCTCATTCCCCCATTCCCTGCTAAGAAGGAGGTCCAGATCATCCATGGTCATCCAAAACGCGGCCCAGAGTTGTCTCGTAACCCTCAACATGCAAAGCCCCCAAAGCAATCAATGGTTCTGCAGACGCGACGCGCTGAGCTCAATATCTTGGGCCCTGAGCACCCGCCAGCAAGGGGAAGGCTGGAATCCTAAACCCTTTTTGAACCCACCCTAAACCCTAAACCCTAAACCCTAAACCCTAAACCCTAAACCCTAAACCCTAAACCCTATTCAAATCATTCAGGCTCCTACATCACATCAAGCTGGGGCGCGGGCACCGGCACGGAGGAGCTCCTTTGAGGCAGATCAGCAGCTTCAGGGTCTCAACAAGTCCGGAGGTTCAGGGGGCTTAATCTTGGGGATGTTCCCCCCTATAAATGATAATATACTAACAGTCCTGAATTGATTTATAGAAGGCTTAATCTGCAAGGACTGCCTTTAGCTTTTTTGCGTCTGGGTTGGACAGTTTTGACTCTTGGCCTGCTCTGGCTGCTCGATCTCTGACTTACTTCGGCCCTCCGACTTATGGCCAGCTGGCCACACTCAGACATGGCTCCCTCATCTCCAACTGCAAGCTCGGGGTAGTGGGTTTCAGACGCCTTTTGTGATGGATCATGTCAAAGCCAACTAGAGCTCCTCAATGACCTTGATATGGCCAAGGTATGCCTGCAGCTGAGAAGCAACGGGGCCCAAGTGCCTAACATCCGAAATCGTCAACCGCAGCCCGGCTTGCAAGACACGGCAGCTTCTCTGTCCTCCCCAAGCTATGCAAACCCTCTGGTCGTGGGCAACCGCGGCATCCACAGCCGGAGCGGGAAACCCTGAACCCTGCTGCCGAACAAGTCCCCCCCTGGAGCGCTGGGCTGCTGCGTGCAGCGCTGTGCCACCAGTGCGTTGCCTGCAGGCGGGGTCTTGACGGCTCTCAGCTTGAGTCGCCAGACGGTTTTTGTCGAAGCCCAACGGCGCGGACTTCATCCGAGCGGTGTTTAGGAAACTGTCGTCCAGCTCCATCACAAGCCCAGCAATCGCCCCGAGTCTACAAAGCAACCCTCGCTGTGATCCACAATGGTCCACACCACTTGAGCTGCGTTCTTTCTCAGGCACGAATAGATGGACATTATAACAGCGAACACTTCCGCGGCGTATTCCGCATTCCTTCCACTGGCAATACCCGACTCTACTTTCTCATCATAAGCGTAAGTCAGCAACCTGAGTATAGATGTTGTCCAGGTACCCCCCACCCCACTCTAGGTTTTCGGATTCGGGCTGTGGGGGTAATGAACGGTCAAGGGTTAAGCGTTATAAGCATTAAGGGTTCAGGCTGGGTGCAGGGTACACGGTTACAGAGTCTTCGAGAGGGTTTAGGGTCAAGGGTTAACGAGGAGGGACCCTGCTGACACTGAAGTTCCCGTGAAGCTGAAAACCCCTCATATATGCTTGGGGGTTGAGGGTGTGTTTTTGCCACCCGTCTGTTTCCTTTTGCCACCGGCCTTGCTATCACCGCCTGTTTTTGGGTGTTAGTCTGCGAGACGTGCTTCAAGGGCTGTACTGGGTGCAAGTCACGGCTCATTTGAATGAAACCCCAAATCCCAAACTCTGCCGCGGTGCTGGGTCACGTCTAGATGCTCCGGGGCCTGGCTGTCTCTGTGGCATCGTGTTGTGGGTTCATGTCAGTCTGAAAGGCTTTCGAGGTCCAGTTGTAATTAGGCTTTTTCGGGGGTTCAGGGTTGTGTGGCAAGGTTTTGGGGGCTGAAGCATGGAGATCTTCAGGGCTGGTTCTTGCGCCTTTAGCCACTTCATGGGCACCATCTGCAACTCTGAGGCTGGACACCCCCCCCCCCCCCGCTGCAGCAATGCTTGAGTCATCTTGGGCCCATAGGAACCTGAAAAACTTCTAAGGCCCTGAAGATATACTCCCCTTAGAACCTTAATAAAAATAATATGTTTAATACCCTCTTGGGTTTTAATAAACAAAAATAGAAAAATAATTCCCAAGAAGGATATAGGAACCCCAGCAGCTGGGACACTCGCAGATTGGGCCAGGGCAGCCACGCAGCCTCTGGAAGGGGCTCTCCCAATATGTGGGCTCCCTTGAGACTCCTGAAGGTTTCTCACTGCAGAGGCCTAATTGGGGGCTTGTGGGCTCGGAAGGCTTGGACATAGGGTTTAGGGCTAGGCTTAGAATCAGCAAAAGCCTCTGATGATCTTGGGGTCTTCCATGGCTTAAGCCCTTCATGAGCAGCAGCTCTTGAGGCTTGAGCCTCCTGCCTGCACAATAGTATGTTGCTCATTTCTGCATATACTGCTCGCATTACAAACCATGGTACTACTATTTGCTTAAGAAGCCCAAAAAACGTAGAATAATAGTCCCTGTATTGCCCATATAAGGAATAATATTATATTTTTTGGGGGGGGTCGCAAGCAAATAGTAGGGTCACCCTAAACCCTAAACCCTAAACCCTACCGTCCGCCTGCAGCACCAGCAAGGGCGGCGCGATGCAGGGGCGTCGAGCCAGAACCATCGCCCACCTCAGGAGAGACATGTTGGGATATGGGGTCCAGGGACTTTTGCCCTCTATATCATTATATCTACATATATATATATATAATACAAATTTAAATACGTATATGGCCCGGATCCTGCACAGAAACGGTCACAAACGGCTCTTGCAACACATCAGCTTCCAGCCGTGGGGTCGGCTCGGCGATTCAGCAGCTGCTGGACCTCAGCTCGTAGGGGGTCGCTTGGATTCTGACATGGGCCGCAACACTTTGTGGGCCCACGGCTTCAATGGGGTTTGGGGTTTAGGGTTTAGGGCGGTTGAAGGTACGACGCCAAGTATCTGAATCGCATTGGCTTCGATCCGAATTCCCAAAAGAGTTCCAAGACTTGGCCCATGACTGCTTCCATGTGCCCGCTCAGGGCTGCGATGTGCAGGGGCGACCTGAGGCAGGCAGAAAGGAATTGTAGGAAATTTGGGGTTTAGGGTTTAGGGTTTAGGGCTTCGTTACGTGGGCTCTCATACCAACGACCTGGCCCGGACAGTCCAACAAGTAAACACCCCAGGCACGCCAGGCCCAGCCGCAAACAGCCTACTTCATTCTTGTGTTTGGTGTAAAACCAGGCTTGCCAAAGTTCGATCGCCACGACTGGGGTGTACTGGGTGCTGCTAGAGCCATCCAGCATCATCCAACTAGAACAACCCCAGAACATAGCGACAAATGTCATGTACTTGCAGGTTCACGGTTCGCCTTTCTTGTTCCCGGACCGAGTTGGGAAGATCTCCACCATGCCACAACCGTCACGGGATCCGTGCGGAAATGGGGCGCGGGAAAGGGCTTCGTCCCTATAAGAACTCGAGCACACCCACCCTTCTTGCTAAGCCACAAAGTGCGAAGCCCGGTCAACCCTAAACCCTAAACCGCCCGTGGGCTGAGCGTGAGGACCGGCCATCCCGGTCCAACTTATCGACGTGCGCACCTCCAGTCTGGGCGGTGGGGAAGGAAGTCCCGTATCCCCGGGTACCTAAACCAGCCGCTTGGGCTCTCTACACTTGCCATGTAGGACCGAAACCCTACCGCAAGCCCTGGGGCAACCCAGGCCCGAACTTCTAGACCCCGACACTTATGTTCCATAAACTTTAACTTCAGTCTCTCGAGCCGACATTAATAAGAGCCACTCGACGCTAACACTGTATCACATCTACCTTGTACTGCAACATTCGTTGCACAAAGGCCCCTCCATGTCAAAAAACATCCTCAAGTAACACCGCACGTTCCCACGTCGGGATGCACCATTACCTTACCAAAGCTCCTGACCGAGCTGCACAAATCTACTCTGCAGCAAAGACTAAACTTCAAGGACCTTACTAATGCTAAGTTGTCACGCATGATGAGGCATCAGAATCAGCGTTCGTAGCCCGAAGGAGACACGGCAAACAACGGCCTCTACCTTGGCCTCTGCAGCGCAAGAATCCGCTTTTACCATACCACATCCTGAATACAACTTGGGATGTTCCCCCTTATACTAACAGTCCTTAATAGGGATTCTAGTACCCCCTATTCTAAAGGGGACCATCCCAAAATATAACCGTTGCCGCCTTGATCCAAAGTGTAGTCGATGGCCTCTGGCTTGCCCGCAGAGGCCTCAGCCACAAACGAATCCTCTCCCCGAGCCTTGGGCAGGCTCTCATGAGGACCTTCAACACCTAAACCTGATCTTACCATCCCACGTAGTGCTGGCAGAATAAACTTCCGAGCCGTGGTTCATACGTGAGAGATGCCACGACCCCCAGTCCCAGCCACCCAGACCGACACGCGGCCCAAACACTGAAGCTTCATTTGTGGCTCTTCGAATCCAGAACATCAGGTCCTCAGCAATTGGCGGCCCAGTGAAGAACCGTCTGGCCCGTCCCATCCTGAGTGTGGGGGGGGGGCAAAGGCAGCTTCGGGTGAATTTTGCTACGATTCGATGACTTGGGCAGTTTCCGGAAGCATGTGAAGTGTCGCTGCCCGAGATTCCTAAGGAAAACGGCAGTTGGTTTGGGAGGCCTCGGTGCATTTTCTGCGCATCTGGACCCGCCCAAAGCCCGCCGCTCCAACAGGCGGGCCAGGGGGCGCCTTCAGATTGGTGGGATCAGTGATCATGGCCTTCTAAGGCCTTTGCCACCACATTGGCATCGTACTCGTCCAAGAAGCTAGTTAACCTCGGACGCACTGCATCCTTCAACCCTCAAGCAGAGCACAACCTGACCGGTTATAAACCTCCTCTACCTCGTCTGCCCCTTGGGACCCCTCTTGGTCTCCCTATTGCAGTCTACAAAACACAAGACCAGAAACAAACATCCTGGGGTCCAGCACGAGACTTTCGCTTTAGGATCACATGCTGCGGCCCGGGCGTGGGCAAGTCGCGCACAGCCTCAGCTGACTTGCAGAGAGTCCGAGCACGGAGTTCGGCCCGGAACTAACGTATATGCTTCAGGTTGACGATTTGGCTAGCCAGCAATAAATGGACTCCAATCGTGTACTGTACACCGTTTCGCCCTGGGCTGCTGAGTGCCTGTCCATGGCGGGCGTTATTCGCTCCTCAGCTCCTCCTGCGCACACGACAACACTATGACTGATTACTTTACTTGACAATGAACCTAAATAACCTACTTGTATGTAACCCGAAGCCCTGAGCCAAAACTTGGACTGCGGTGTGCAGTCTGCATGCGACTAGAGAGCCGACCAGAAGAAAAACTGCTCGGTCCTTCACCCACCTGCAAGCCTCGCCCAATTACTTCCGCCAGATGCATCATGTTACATCTGCCACCTGCCCTCCTCAACATGAGCCGTGCCTGCAGTGGAGAGCTGTGTCCTCCAGACGCACGGCCGTTTGTCTTGAGTCTTGAGTTTCGAGGATCAATCTCAGAACGTCGCAAGTCGCAAAGACGCTTGGAGCAACAGAAATTACAGATCCGAAAGGTTCAGTTCAGGTGACCCTGCTTTTCAACCCCGAGCTGGGTGCCCAGACGCCAGGGCCAACGCCCAGCAACGCCCGGGGAAGCTGGCGGAGGAGGCTGGGAGTTGAAGAGTTTGGGGACATTATGTGGGCGGCTGCTGCAGTCAAAACTGATCCCTTCCTCATCGCCCTGATTTGTAGACCCGAAAAGGGGTTTCCAACCGCGTGTTCGCATCCCAGCCTCTTGCCCTGCAACTGAAACCCTTTTCCCTTGACAACAAAACTGGGTGGAGCCTGCGCTGTGATTGGCGCATGCCCATCTTGCGAAATTCGCTGTCAGGTGCTTGCAAGAACTTTGAAGCTTTGGTTGGAAGCCACGGGTGCGGAGTGGTTAGTCAGAGGAGGTGCTGGCTGGATTGAGGTCTTGAAGATCAAAGAGAGGACTAGGGCAGAGCCGCGTGCTTGGGGGAGGAATCTACTGTTCGGGTTTGCTCATCATGTGTATAGGTTAAGGTCGAGAATTTCGCAGAAGTAGCAGAGGCCTAGACGCAAGCATGCAGCTCGCTAGTTCGCCCCTGAAGCCGAAGTGACCGAGAGACGGAAGATGAATGCATGAGGATCTGTGCCCCAATGCGCGTCCAAGGTTTCTTTCTCTAAGCCTGATCAGAACCTGGGGGGGCTATCGACGAGAGGGTTTGAGCATCAAGGAAGCGCGAATTAGCTGGGCCACCGTTCCTGACGAGCACATCCCTGCAAAGGAGCTGCTTTTGAGTGCTTGCTGGAGCACCGCTGGCATCATTGTGTGTTGGCTCGGCCTTAGTGAAGATGCAACGCTACGGCGTGGGGGGCAGGTGCATTTTTTTCATGTGGTCCATGCTCAGGAACTTCCACAAACAGTGACATGTTGTGTCACCCTACTGCGTTTGCCAAGGCCAGATAGGGTTTCTGCAGCTGGCAATCAGGGCTGTGCCCTGAATGGGAACTTGAAGATATAGTGGAAGACATAACATAGCTAGTTCACTGATGCATTACAGCTACTTGGTTAGGCTCTTCATCAACAGAAGTTTCTTGCAAATCTCAGCAGGGTCAAAGAATTAGGCCCCAGCAATGAGCCGGGCGACATCGGCAACGCCTTCAATGATTGCCGTCAGGACGCTCCACCAAAACGGATCAGAAGAAGAAACTGCATCCTTGCAAATGCATCCAAGCAGACTACCTTTTTCCCCACCGACCACAGCCTCATGCCGGTCAAACCTGGCAAAAGGTGTGTTTCGCCATCCCCCAACACCCCGCACGCTTGAGCACCTTGATGCGTGCTGAAGGCGTCCGAATTACATTGCAAAACGCTCGCTCGCCCCGAAGGCTTCTTGCCGCTCTTCTTCAAAGAGCAGAAAGGGGCTGGAATCACAGGATTTCCATTGTCGGAATATCTCCTGCCTCGAGGCTTCTCTTTGAAGTAGGCGGGACTTCACAGCTCTTGGCTGTGGGGCGAGGTCGCTTGGCTCTTACCTGGCCTTCTGTCAGTGTAGAGCTTCGGTCTTTGGGAATGGACCGTGCCAGAATCGTAGAGTCGGACTGAATTTCAGATACAGAGCTCTCCAGATGCAGCCTCAGCTTTTCTGTGCCGGAAATCTGCTCTGTCACCAGCTGCTGAACGCGGGATCGAACAGCCAGCGCCGCAGCTGTATTCTCTCGGAATCTTGCAGTGTCCTGACGGATGTTCTGGCGAGAGCATATCAAGGCTTGCATTTCATGCTGGAGCTTCCTCTGCTGGTCCTTACATTCTGAAACCATCTCGCCCTGTGCACCAAGCACACCCCGAAGTTCGGCATGTTGCTGCAGAGCTTTGTGAATTTGCTCCTCGAGTTCCTGCCTGTCCTTTGCTGCCACCTCCGCATCGTCAGCCGCCTCCTCAGCACGAAACTTGGCCTCGTCCCGCTGCCTCTCCTGCGCTCTTCGGAACTCTTCCGTGAGAGGGCCCACATCGAACGTGGTGTTTGCAGCGTTCGCTTCGCTGGGTGGTGGCTTAGACACAGACAGATCCTCTTGCAGAGCAGCCAACTGATGAGACAAGGATGCCGCTCGACTCCGCACCTCCTCAAAGCTTCGCTGCAGCCTTGCAACCAGCTCGCAAGCGACCTCCCGCTGTGGCTCAGAGGCGGCGTCCATCACGTGTGCTGCGTCTGCTTTACAAGGTGCATCCGCATCTGCTGGACAACCCTCAGCCATGCCCGTTGCTGCGATCATGGGCTTTGTGGCATCGAACCTGAACTGCAAGCCCGGGCTTTGTAGCCAGCGCCTGGTGAGCTGCACCACGTCGCCATGGCGTAGCTGTGCTACCTGATCCTTCTCCATCAGCTGGCCATTCAGGAAGGTCCCGTTGGAACTTCGGTCGATAACCTGGAAGGCTTCAAGCTGAGCAACCCATCGCACTTCGCACTGAACGGCGCTAACAGTTGGCCCGCTGATTCGGATTTGGCACGTCTCCTTTCGCCCTATGTACAGCCCGTTACCGATGTCGAAGCCCGGCCCATCAGGATCAGTCAAAGGAATCAGTCTCGCCATTGCGGCTCGATTCGCCGAGTGATTTATGCTAACTCTTCAAGATTGTGACAACAAACATCTGGCGTCGGAGTGCGCAACTACGAGCTTCAACTTTCTGTGACGCAGAAGCTCGCCATCATATTCGTTTACTTGTCTGACATCTACCGACATGTGTGCGGCCAGCGTGTTGCACGCAGCACCGCTGCCGGATGTTTCCTCCTTTATCATCGAGCATGGAAACGGCACGCGAGGGGCATTTGAAAGGCATCTCCAAGTTTGCATACACAAGCATGGAAGCTGGCATGCGACTGCCCGCCTGCTGCAGAGGGCAGGGCCGCAGTGAGTAAACCTTGCGCGACATGGCCCAGGTACCCAGACATGCTGCCATGTCCGAAAACTTTAAAACTCAAGAACACAACTATTTTACTTCGAACATCACCACCCGACCCCTACAGACTTGGATCTTTTGGGGTTACTGGGCAACTCTGGGTTGGGCACTCCAGGGACACTCTAGGGTTGGGAACGACCGGGCGAGGAGAAGAGTTTGTTTAAAATCTAACAACCACACCGATAGTCGGGAAGAAAGAGCTCACTTCCCTACGAAAGTCGAGTACCGAGTCCGGGAATGGGCTAGCGCGACACCTTTCGAGCGCTGCAGACTGCAGGGGAGCCGTACAGCAATGATAGGGGGACAGGCCAGCAGCTTTGCTTCTCTAAGGCCTGAACACCATTAAACAAGGGGGTTACATCGCCACATAAACAATCTGAAGCACCCATTCTCCAACCATCTTGGCCGGCGCAGCCACGTAGAAGTCCCAAACACTCCGCGTGCTGGCGGCATGACTCGGACAACCTCTGAACCCTTAGATGGAACACCTGAACCCGAAAACCCTATAGACGCCAGAAGCTTCAGAAAGTAGATGATGCAACTATGGAGTCCATCGTGACACACGAAAGAGCACTCCAACGATCCAAAAGCAGTCCCACAAGACACCCAGAACACGCACGACGACAACTTCGAGGTCGGCGGCGCGGGCGGTAGCACTGCAAGTTCTTGCATCTGACAAGTATGGGCCTGACAGGGTAGAGACTGCAAAATATACAGCATAAACGACGAGAAATGGTTTTGAAGCGAAACAAGTCAGCGAATAGCTACACAGGCTAGTGTTGAAAGAACCTTACAAAGTATCTTAGTAGTGGGACCGGGACCGTTTACAAGGCCCATGTTATGAACCACAATATATCCATGCCGCACAATAAGACCTTTCAGGGTCGATGTTCGCTGCCTTGTTCGCTCCTGCTACTTATTTCACTTTTATTCACGACGTGCGTGAGACCACGACATGACTTAAACTATGCTCACGCGTTTGAATTATCATAAATAGCCAAGGAACGAAGTGAATGAGTGAACGAGTGAACGAAGTGACGAAGCGAATGCTGCAACGTGACATTCGCACATGGGCCTCTGTAAAGCGGCCTGCGCGCCCATGACCCTCCATGCTTTGGTTTGAGGATTTCCTGTGTCATCTTGGCGTCAAAAACCCGAAAGCCTGTTCTGACCTGAGTCTCGCTCGACCAAACCTCAGTTCCCCACACGCACCAGGGCCCACGTGGGGGGGGGGGGGGGGTGGAAACGTGGTTCAGGATCCTTCCTGTGTCATAAGCATTGCTCAGCTCAGCTTTGCATCGACAAGTGAGCATCACTTCGTCCGTCACAGGAACATACTTACTTGCTATTCTTGCGAGAACGCAGTCAGCTGTTGCTTGTGGCATTCTTTTGCGACAAGCTGTCTGTCTGCATGGTCGGAAGTCATGTCACAACACGCCGGACAGTCTTCTGACGTCGGAAACGATGACTATGTACAACTGTACATGAGTATGTCGACAAAATGAAGGGACCTCTGCGAATCCTTTCTCCTAAACTTTCCACGCTGCTCTTCCGAAGGGCCCTGGATTCTGACACATACCCTTGCATGTGGTAGCATCTTGCACCTCGGAAAACAAAGCAGTGCTTGGGAAGATCTCCAGAAGGCTCTTTTTCAACCTTTAGGGGCGCGCCAAGGTGCTTCATGGGACCGATAAGGTGCCTGGGGATGCTACCTCTTGCTTGAACTTCTCCCCGCAGCTTCCGAAGCGAAACTCACTGGAGGCAAGCGAACAAGCCGGGATCCCCAAACCGTAGGCTTCGTAAGCTAAGCCCCCTCCCCCACACCAGGCGTACAGATCATTGTGAGCTGCATTCCCTTTCGTGGGAACTGGGGGGCAGGGAGGCGGGGTGGGGAAGCTGTCTTTTAGTTCGAAGCTGCTCTGCAACTGCAGTAGGGGCGTGGAAGATTCGATGGTGCAGCGATGCTTGGCGATAGCCTGGGTCCAACGGGCAGATCACTCCTAGTTCGTGGTTGCATGGTTGCAGTTGGTGCAGCTGACATGCGGCCGCTTAATGTCAGCCACTCTCTGGGTGCGGCACACCCCCCCCCAACGTGTGACCACAAGCCGCGTGGTGACGGTGTAGGGCTGGAGACTATCCTGCAGCCACTCTGCCCTGATTATGCACATCTGCTTAGTATACACTTTGCTTAGATCTACCAGAACCCTGATGGTAGCAAGCTGCCTGGGCAAACATAGGACCTTTTCCATCCCCATCGACACCTGGGCCCTGCCAGGCCCCGCAAGGCAGACACCAAGAAGTTGACCCCTTCAAGCTGGGTGATCTCAAATGTCAGAGGGTCGGGATTTCTGAGGTGTAGTGTTTGGTGCGCCTAGAGCAACCTCTTATGCCCCTGCAAGAGCAAGGAGAGACCGTAAAGAATCGAGGGGAGAAGGCAATTCTGTAGTTCCGCACCCCTTTGAACCCCAAAACTGCTACGGATTTGGGAGTTGAGGCCAGGATTTGTGAGCACAGCCGAGAACTCAGCAGTTCGCCTTTCGACTTGGACCCCCGGCGATTTGCAAAGGACTGAAAAGGCAGATCGCAAGTGGCGGACCTCAGGATTTCAAGGGATTCTCTCAGTCCCTGGTGCTGCGTGACGTGGCCGACAGGCCCAGGTACCCAGTCTTGTTTGTTTTCGTTTTAGGGTTTAGGGTTTAATTAGGGTTTAGGCAAACCACTATAGACTTAATCAGCAATCCTGGGAACTGTTAAGTTAAGTGCTGTGGGGCGGGAGCTGCCATGCGCAACGGGCCTTGCATAGCCATCTGACCGATCAGGCCCAGATACATCCCAAGACAGGTTCCAAATCCACCACCTTCCAAAATCACCACCCTACAAGCTGTTGACTGTTGCAGCTTCTGTATATTCAGGGCACAAGGGAGCTGCCCTGTGCAGAGATTCATGGAGACAGCCCTGAACCCTCAGGTTTGCGACCCTCAAGACTGATGAGCCCCTTCTACTACGATTGGAACATGACATTCATCTTTTTCAAGTATTTTTCTACGACTATATCATGATATGACTATAAGGTTGTCATAACTTTAACAGCTGCTGGCTTGCGTGTGCACGGACCCGACGTCTCTCAGACCCCGGCTGGAAACGCGTGGTTTCCTTGGTTGCGGGCATCCAAAACCCAGAAGCTGGCCGTTTAGGATTTAGGGTTTAGGGTTAAGGGTTTAGGGTTTAGGGTCACCCAAATGGTAGGACTGCCTCTTTTCATCAGGACCCCAAAAAAGGTACCCCCTAATTTCGGAACCCCCATTTGTTTTGCGATGCATTTTTGGAGGCGGTGCCTGCGCCTTTCCATCTGCAGCCGGAGTTGAAGGAGGGAACTTCGAGGTCGTGCTCCAAATTTTCGGCAGGCTTACGACATAAGAATATATGATAGACTTAAGATGCCCGCACCATCCTGGAGACAGTCGCCGTTTTCTGCTCCGCGCGCAAGGTAAACTTGCAAGGCTGTCCAACGATTTACAAGCCACACGGGCCCTCCTTAAGTCTGTCGTGGTTGTCGGCAGCCTAAACCCTAAACCCAATAAACCCTAAACCCTATCCCTAAACCCTAAACCCTAAACCCTAAACCCTAAACCCTACACCCTAAGGCCCAAAGTGCCAGCCGTCAAAGTGATTGGCGAGCGTGCAGCCAATTCTCAAGGCAGTTGTGGTCTTCGAGACTCTGGATGTCTTTAACATGCAACGTTCAGAAGATGGACTCTATTTTTCAGACAGCGGCGCAAACATCTATTCTGCTCAGGACGCGCATGTGCGCCAAGGCAAAAGCTGTGGCCAAACAAGGCACATGCCTCGTGTCTAGAGTAGAGGCAGATTTCTGAGGCGCCTGCCACCGACGACATTAATCTGGACATGCCTTGGCATTCATGGTTCATGAGGCGAGGGAAGGGTGAGAGGTGGGGCTTTGTCCCTCCACACCCCCCTCTATAAACCCCCGATCGGGACTCAGGCCAATGACCGTGGTCCCCCCCCCCCCCTATAAACACCCTGAAAACTTGCTGTGCTCCCTAAGTCCCCCCAACCCTAAACCCTAAACCCTAAACCCCTCCCCCCCATAACCTTGGGCCTCCTGCCACCTCCCAACTTCGCTCAGCGCCGGACAGAAGCCCCGGTAGCCGGCCTTCCGGATGGCACTGTCCAAAGCTGCCTGATTTGATGCAGGCTTCTGTTTGCCTTCCACTTTGGCAACCCGAGTTGCTGAGTACCCAGGGCCAAAAAAAAGGTTAACCTTTCAACTATGGCAGGATTATGTACCCCACAAGGTTGTGGCTGTTGCTTCTGTCGCCTGCGCCAAAATCCTCGCGCCCGTTCCGCTAACACCTGATTCCTACAGACCCTTCCCTTCGGATGAGTCTCTTCATCTTCGGCCCCAGGCTGACCATCACGCAAGACATGTAAAGGAAACCTCAAAACTCTCTCCGTCGCCTCTTGGGTCATTCCCTCTTCCAGAATCACTTCCGGAAGCAAAGTGGCCTCAGCTGCGCTACAGCATTGGGGAGGCAAGCATCGCACGAGAGGGGCTTGGGAGCGGTACTTCTGGCCATCCTGGCCCGACCCCCGACAAGCACCGCCAGCAACCAGCAGCAACCGCAAAGGCAACCTACATGCATGCATGCATACATGTTGATAATTGATTCATACACAATCATCTAGATTGTCCAAGCGCCCGACGGTGTACCTGCAAGTGCTACAAGGGCAGATGCTGCAGAAAGACGCCTCAGCGTCAGGGGTTTAGAGGGATTCGGGGCCCGGAGCTTCGCCTCTCTGGGCTTGTCTATTGGGCAGAAACTGCCCTATTTTGAGGGTTCAGGGTGCAGGCGTGGGCTTATGCCTAAAGCAACCCCTACAAGTCCGACTGGCGAGTTGGGTTCTTCTTGGCCCCCTAGTAATCCTGGAGCCCTGAAATCACAACTTGCAAATGCTCGCGGGGACCCCTCTGTCAAACCATCTCGGGCTCTGGCTGTGAACGATATCGCGATCTTGGCTCACGTTCAGTACTCGCTTCGGTGGGGGTTGCATTGCAATGTGACACACACACACACACTTACACTTGAAAAGCAAACTAGCAGAGTCCTGTGATGCTGTGAGTGAGCATGTTGCTGCCCTGAACTTGAAAGCTGCATGCAGCTCGCTGCACGTTTTACTCGGAAGATGGTACTGCACGCGTTCTAAACCCTATACGGGGGGAACCCGAAGGGGGACGAGGAACCGAAAAGTCAACCCCAACAGAATCCCTTGATTTCCCTGGATCAACCACACAACAAACCCAAACCACAGGGCACTCACCTTTTACTACCAGGCACATGGCCCAGTCTTGAGCCAAAAAATGATTTCCGGGTTTATTAACCCTTTCAACCTCCAACACTAACTTCTTTCTACAATACCAGTTGCAGCTCCGCACTCCCCCTGTCCTAGGATTTCCTAGGACACATTGGAGGTGCAGATCTTTGGTCAAAAACTGCCATTAGGGCAGTAGCCTGCTGCTTGACATGCACATTATGGTTTTACGTCTTCCAGGACGACCCTTCAGCTCATTGGCTGAATCCCTTACCATTGAGGATTTCTTCACCTCAAACTTGAAAAAGTTTACGTTCCAGCGGCCCGTTCCTCACCAAGGAACTCAGCATTCACCACCCAGCCATCCTTGAGGCAATGCTTGCAAAGCGTCTTAGCCCTGGGCTGTGAATATCGCAGAACATCACAATCACTGCTTGCGTGCATACAGTTCCCACCCACTGTTGTATACAAAGTGGCACTCGCAGGAATAACCACCACTTTCTTGATCCACAGCCATTTGTACAGCCGCCGAAAGAGGCACCATGTCAATTCCCAGATTATGATTGCTGCCACCAAATACGCAACAAGGTCTGAGTTGTTGATAACCATTTCAATACCTTGAGCCAGAACCATAACCGTAGATGTATTGGCGACCTGGCACACCCCTTCTTCTGAGCAAAAGAAACCAGCAGCTGACACTTCTTCTCCACCTGTTGCCATCCCTTGCAGGGATGCAGCCACCATCATGACCGCCATTGCAAGAGAGGCCCTTTTCAAGTCAGTTCCTTGCACTAACAGTTGGAGACCCCAAAGTGCCTTTTGCTTTGCATAAACCTGTCCACTCATCAATTTTGTCAACAGATCAGCAATCATATACTCACCACGAAGATGCGCTATCACCATGTAACCACGGTCCACCAGAGACCTGACACCAGCTGCTCGAATTCTCAGGTGTCTTGTTCTCCAGCTACCAGCAGGATATTGAATGATTGAGCACGTCGAAACCGAATCTGTATACAGCACTTTTTGCAGCGATTCTTCACCAGTTCCCACCAAAGCGGCAATTATAGGGGTACACGATTGAATCATCGTTGCTCCCTCTATAGACGCATGCAATTCAGCTTCAGCAGTGCTCAAAGCCACCGTTGATTGTCTCTGCGTTGCCCACATCACTGGACAATCACCCCAAACCACCACCGCTCCTGAGTGGCTCTTTTCGTTTTCCCCCGCTGCAAAGCTAGCATCCGCGTAAGACTCCACCACCTTGACGCCTCGCCCATAACGCAACACCTCATTCCTTTCTTTTTCGCATGTTGCGATTGCACCAAACGTCAGGCCTAACGTTGGAGTTGCAGCAAGGTATCGAAATACCTCCTCAGCCTTTTTAACCACAAATCGCGGCCTTCGGGATGTCCACAAAGACAACTGGCTTGTGCAGAAAGCCAAATCAGGTCGAGTTTTGATTGCCACCCAGAGGAACTCCCCTACGGCACCTTGAGCCGCTCGCAAGGAGGGAATATCCACCTCCTCTTCTTCACCTGGAGTTTCTTTCACCATTGGCAGGTTACTACCTTTTCCAGTTTCATCAATCTGATACCCTCTTCGGTTCAGCAAATCTCTCACGAAGTCCTCCTGGTTGAGAAAGAAGCTGCCATTTCGGTACCAGATTTGGACACCCAAAAACTTCAGGAATCCATCACCACAGCCTGGACCACAGAACTCGGGTTCAGAAGTTTTCCACTCCTTCCTGATCTGTTCCAAGGCTTCCCGGAGCACTGTCATAGTCCCAGCCATCAAAAAATCATCCACGTAAAGACCCATTGTCCCTACCAACTTGCTTGCACCTTCCGGCTTCTCTTGTGCCATAATAAGGAACAGACTTGGGTCTGCATTGGACCTCTGAAAGCTCATTGCTTGTCCATCCTTTGACACCCAAGACATGCCTTGAAGACGTTGGTCTCGCCACTCCACCCATGCTGCAGGACTTTCGGCCAAACCGTACAAGGCCTTCCTCACAATCCACCGCTCCTCTTTTGTGCAAAGACCGAATTTCACCGCCGCCCTTGGGGGCTGCACCACCACCAAACGCCCTTCTCTTTGCGCCCTATTCATCGGCGCCGTCAGAAAAGCTTTGGAGATGTCTAAGCCAGCGATGATCCACACCATATGTGCTGCGTGCCTCACTTGGCACCTAAATGTAGTTGAATCTAAACCTGGAGCGTACAGCGAGTGACGACTGAGGGACCTTGGCCCTTCGTATTCTGTAGCTGCCGTTGACGAAATAAAGTTCCCACATGCACAGATACGGGCACGCCTCCTCCCTGTCCCTTGCTTTCGGGTAAACACCACCAGACTGGGAACGTACTCAATCACCGGTGCATTAGGCTCTTCCGCCAATTTGTCCAGCTTTTCTTGAGTTGTTGGTTCCACCACTTCCAACTCTTTAACCAAAGACTTCACCTCGTCCGACAATGATTCCCTCCACTTCTCCAGCTCTTGCATGGCTTCTTGTGTAGGGATTGTTTTTGTTTGCAGGAACTCGACCTCCTCCGCTGCCTCCAGCGCAGTATTCTCTTGTACCACTTGCTGAACTTGAGCTGCTTTGACCAAAAACTTCGAGAGCTGTTCCTCAGCCCTTTTTGCTTTAACCAGCCATTCTCTGGTCTCCGATCCTTTTTCATCATTCGACTCATTGGCCGATCCATGGAACTCGTCCAAAATGCAACATTCCTGTTCAGCAATTAGGCGTCGAATACTCAAATGCTCCTCTAGAGCCCATTGATGCGCCTCAAGCACAGCGTAGTCGACTTCCTCTGCAAGGTCGTCCAGCGAGGTCTCTTTCAACGTCATTTTTAACCACTTCCTTTTTTCACCTTCTTCAGCTTGTGGTTCTGGAAGAGGAAACTTGCATTGGAGAAGATAGCACCTATCCTTGTAGCTCAATCGCTCCATAAAAACAGGTGTGTACCCTGTCAAGGATACTCTGTTCCCTTTCCAAGGCATAGGACCATGCAGTTTTCTCGGAAAGAACGACATGAAGTTCCAGTGGATATCAACCAATTTTCCAGGTAAGACTTTCTTCCCATAGGATTGCTCCACCACTTCAGCTCCTTCCTCCAAAACCTTTTCATCCTCAACCCACAGCTGACCCTCTTTATAGTCACCGAAGCCACACACATAATTGCAGCAATGCTTTTCATTGTGACTATCCCTATGCAATGATACCGGAGCATTGCACGAGATCTGAAGAGCAGAAAATTTGGCTTCAGGATTGTGGTGCTTCACAAATGATGTCAAATAACGACATAGCCATGGCCTTCGATGGGTCTCCTTTGTAATACCACACACTCCGCCATGAGTATAGTGGCCCAACACCAGAGCTCGCGTACTTGTGCACCAATTGTTGATACCACCTCTCCGATTCACCCTCTTTGGGTATACAATCCCTTCCAAAAGCTCCTCACAGTCCACGTAATCATACATAGACCTTTCATACATTGACTTGGCTTTTTGTTCTTCTTTTTCCAACTGTGTTCCATCCTCGGCAGTCTCACTTTTGCAGACCAAATAAGCATTTTCATGAGGAGAACAGCATGTCGGCCAATACTCATCACCAGGAACATTGTCCTCAACATCTGCATTTTCTTCCAGCTCCCCCAAACCCTGCATGTCATCCTCGAAAATTTCTAAGGGCGGACTCTCCCCCCGCTTGCGAAGCAAGCGCAAAGAGCCCACATGACCACGCAGTGAAGAGGCCGGGCTTTTTTCTTTTAACCGACGGTGAGCCGGAGGATCGCGAGGTGGAGGTAAAGGAGGACCTTCCTCATCAGCGAACCTAAGCGCTGGTTTTTTCCCCTTGAGACGATGCTCCGGAGGAGAAGGCTCCTGTTCTTCTACCACCCCTTCCAGCTCCAATGCAGGTGGTTCCTTTATATTGGAAAAAATCGTAGTGCAGGGAAATAACACCAGTTCATCCGGATCTTTGGCAGTCCCTTGAGCTTCCACCCAATAACCACCAGGTAGGTCATCGCATGGACCCAAAAGAAGCGCGGGCTGCGTACGATCGACCCATTGCCGACCTTTCTTTGTTCCATCCGGACCCAGCAACTCCCACGGACGACGTTTGACTTGAATCTGAGCACCAAAGGGAAGCAATGCTTTCGGTTTCAAACCCAACTCCCTTTCAGCTTTCTGCCACCGTAACATTGACCAATGGCGAGCAGCCAGTGCCCAATACGCCGGCCCGAGTCGCGCCTCCTTTAAGAGCGACCTCACACCACGTTTGAATAAACCCACACATGCTTCAGCGCGCCCATTTGTTTGCGGGACTCCAGGATCACCAGTGGTCCTATATATCAGACGAGTTTCACAAAAGGACCGGAAGCGTGCATTGACAAACTCCCCCGCTCGATCTGAGTGGATTCTCAACACCGGATACCCATGTCTCTGCAAGCGCACCATCATTCTTTGAACCGCCGACAAAACAGTTGTTTGCTGTTTATCCACAATCGGCTCCACCATAACGAAGTTGATCATACGGACAGGTTGGGTCAAATGGTCCTTCAGTTCCTTCCAGGATTTTTCAGAAGCTTGGATTTTCAACACCTCTGCCTCCAGAACTGGTGCAGGTTCCACCGGTGCAGAGTCTTCCTCCTCGAAGTTCGCGACGGCATCGCCTAACCATTCTCCAACACCAGCACCT